TTCGTATCATCTCAGTTTTCACCATCATTATTTTGGTACAGAAACCACTGTTCCTGATGGATTGAAACTCTATTCTTGGTGGATAAGAGACGCCACATTTGATGGTTAAACAGTTAAACGCACATTATTGATGGTTCAGCTACCATTCTTGTAAAACCCTCCAATGGTTGCTAGTTAAATCCCATCATATGTAGGGTTATCCCCCCACAACAATGGAGAGTCAACCTTAATGTGGTGACTGCAGGTAGGTGAGATGACCCAAATCAATACATGGGTTTGTTTGAACATTGGGTGTGGCCAAATCCCGCTGTGTTGTCATATTCCCCATGAAAATACTGAAGCTACTGTTGCAAATCCAACATTTCTGGACAAACCCACATCATGTTGTCGCTTACATAACTCGTTGTATCCCCTTTCTATTCCGGTAAAATGGTTTAGATCATTTGTTCTCTTGGATTCTTCGTCAACCAGAACATCAACCATGTATCGTTATCCGTAACCATTGTTGATTTATGTATTAGTCAATATTAATCATCATAAAACAGCATTGATCCAATATAAGGCTAACACTTTTATTGTGGGTTAACCATCTGCCATTTCTGGGTACTAAACCCGCCAGGTGCCAGCGCCACCACCTGTGTCACCCCTGGAAAGGTGGGCTTCCCAGGGCGTGTGGAGCAACTGAAATTTACGTGTGGGGGATACCACCAAAAAAGGAGGATTACATGCTATTTTCATGGTGAAAAACGATAATACGTAATCTTTCAGGTCATTATTTATCATGCTGAAAAAGAAGAATCTGACTATTATTTATATTTATATATTTGGGAGTTATTACTAGATGTGACATATGTGTGGCTGTATATTGAAGTGCTTTTTTGGTTTATATCTAGGGTTCAAATCTATGGGACCAAGAAGGATCTCTCGCTAGTTGACCTCCTTAATGTTGGTTGATGGGTGGCATGGTACAACTCCATCAAGAATGAGGATAAACCTCCATGAATGCGGGGAAAAAAACAACACGTGATGGTCAAGCCTCCGGGGTCTGTTTTCTGCCTGGCTTTCTTCTGCAACAGCAACATGAATCAACATATGGCGTTTCGTGAACAAGTATCGACGTTTTTGGTCATATTTCATAGGGAAACCAATGGGGTAGCCTTTTGAATTATTTTGGGAAACAGTCGTACGGCCATGTGTGAGCAACTTGGGGATCTCACTAAGGCCAAAGATGGTTGGCTTGTCTCCCCAACAGCAGTATTCCCCAACAGAGTCAGCTCGGGGATCTTAGGGGTCTCAGCCCAGACAAAGGTTTGGTGCAGTTTCTTGTGCGGGTTCTGGGCTGGTTTCCGGCAATTTCGGGGAGGTTCCGAAGGTTCGGGGGGAGTTCTGGATTGTTTCTGGCGGTTGAAAGGGCAATTTCGGAGATTCCGGTGTGGGTTCCGGGATAAGTTCGGGAGGTGTCGGTGTGGTTCTGGAGGTTCTGTTGCAGTGGTTGCGGCGTTGTGGTTCCGGCGTGGGTTTCGGGATGGTGTTCACTGGCTGCTGTCACCCCGCTTTCTTATCACCTTTGCTGTTGGGGATACCACCTGAGCTTAGTCAAAGCAAACAATCCAGCATGAATTGCAGCATTCGCCAGACTCCGGGGTGCGTTGGCCTCGGCTCAGAGGCATGGGGCGGCATGGGGGCTGTGGTGGATAATGTTTGTAATCTAGCTTGACCATGGAATCTTCTATGTTTGATAGATATTCAATATATTTCAATATCACCTTTGTTTCGCTATCAGAGGGTCCGAGTGAGACTTATTGACCCCGCAGAAATGGAGGGTTGAATACTGCGCACGACCAATTTTTTGGGGTGCATTTTTTTTTACCCACACACCCTTCAGAGCTTGAAATTAATTCCTTCCTTCAGAATGGAGGGTGGACAATCGTAGCAACCAGCTACGAGGGGCACAGAGTTTTGACCCGCAGCCATGTTTTCACAGGGGAAATTCTTCTCGTTGGTTGGACATTTGGACATTTGGACATTGGTTTGGCTCCTCAAGCAACCTCACATCCAAAAAGATCTGTTTGGCTTGAGCATATGTACAAGTACAGAGTGCTGAGGATCTCATAGCCTCATAGCATCGGGTTCATGTAATGTATAAAGCCTCGTGATTCAGCTTCGTCTAAAAACAGGGTACCTATCCATATTTGATGGTTTATGATCATTCTCTCATTACAACCGAATTTTGGAGCATCCCTCTTTTCAAACAGACTCTTACAGTCTCTCAAGAAATTGTGGTCAAATTCGGTTCGTGCCAGGTGTGGTGTGGACGATGTGTTGCTTGCAAAGGCAGAAGCTTTTCTGCGAATGCAGGAGCACAACTCAAACAGAAATCCCATGGTTTATAATCACGTTCCTCACTAAATGATACTAAATAGCCATTCAGTGTGATCACAATGGGTATTTCGGAAGGCCGAAAAAAATTCGGACCATTGGAATGGAGTGATGAACATCCAGAGTTTGGATCCTGGAATTTGTGCAGCTGGTGCAGATTTCCTGCAATCGCTGTAGGAGTCCAAGAAACAAGCCCTGCAGCTTACCGTCAGCAAGGCCAACTGTTTGAGAAATCCTTGTGAAACTCATCGGTTCTCAGCGCTTTCTCAGGGTTTCAGGCTGGTGACATCCGTATAGTGGAGATCAGTTGGCCAATATATGTATATATATTTATATATATATATATGTAGACACATTATATATATATGTATTGTATTGTATTCTATTGTATGGTTTGTATTGTATTGTATTGTATTGTATTGTTTTGTATTGTATTGTTTTGTATTGTATTGTGTTGTATTGTATTGTATTGAATTGTATTGTGTTGTATTGTTTTGTATTGTATTGAATTGTATTGTGTTGTATTGTATTGTATTGAATTGTATTGTATTGTATTGTGTTGTATTGTATTGTATTGTATTGAATTGAATTGTATTGTGTTGTATTGTATTGTATTGAATTGTATTGTATTGTACGTATTGTATTGTATTGTATTGTATTGTATCGTATTTGTATTGTATTGTATTGTACTGTATTGTATTGTATTGTATTGTATGGTATGTATTGTATGGTATGTATGCACGGTATGTATGTATGGTATGTATGGTATGTATGGTATGTATGGTATGTATGGTATGTATGGTATGTATGGTATGTATGGTATGTATGTATGGTATGTACGTATGGTATGTACGTACGGTATGTACGTACGGTATGTACTGACGGTATGTATGGTATGTATGGTATGTATGGCATGTATGGTATGCATGGTATGTATGCTATGTATGGTATCTATGGTATGGTTGGTATGCGTGGTATGTATGGTTCGTATGGTATGGTATGGAATGGTATGGTATGGACTGGTATGGTATGTAATTGAATGGAATGTCATAGTATGTAATGGAATGGAATGGTACAGTATGTAATGGAATGGTATGGAATGGTTTGGTATGTAATGGAATGATATGGTATGTAATGGAATGAGATGGTATGGTATGTAATGGAATGGTATGGTATGTAATGGAGTGTAATGTTACGTAATGTTATGTTGTGCTAAGTTATGGTATGCTATGGTATGCTATGCTATGTTATGCTATGCTATGTTATGCTATGCTATGTTATGCCATGCTATGCTATGTTATATTATGCTATGCTATGTTATCTATGTTATGCTATGTTTTGCTATGTTATGGTATGTTCTGGTATGGTCTGGTATAGTATGGTATGTATGTAATGTATGTAATGGATGTAATGGATGTAATGTATGTAATGTATGTAATGTATGTAATGTATGTCATGTATGTAATATATGTAATGTATGTAATGTATGTAATATATGTAATGTATGTAATGTATGTAATATATGTAATGTAATGTAATATGATGTAATGTGATGTGATGTAATGTAATGTATGTAATGTATGTAATGTATGTACTGTATGTCATGTATGTAATGTAATGTATGGCAAGGTATGGTATGGTATGGTATGTATGGTATGGTATGTATGTATGTAGGTATACATCGCATGGATATATATATATATATATATATCTATATAGATAGGTATAGATACAGATATAGATATAGAACGATATATAGAATGATATAGAATGATTTTTAGCATGATAGAGAATGATATAATAGAATGATATAGAATGATATAGAACTATATAGACTGATTTAGAATGATATAGCATGATCAAATATACATTTAGATATTGATACATGGATACATATATATATATAGATATCTAGAGATAGATACATAGATACATAGATACCTATATATATACACATCAGAAATATATTTTTAGATATTTAGATACATATATATGTATATAGACATAGGTATATAGATACATAGATATATAGATATATATATATATATATATAGATACACGTATATAGATATATATATATAGATGTATATATATATATATATATTTAGATACATATAGATAGATATAGCTGTATAGGTTTATATATAAATATTATATATATATATTTCCATATTTAGATATATAGATATATAGATGTATGGAGATATACATAGATATAGATATACCACGATATAGATATACCAAGATATAGATATATAAATATTCAGGTATATAGATATATCAATATATAGATATATCAATATATAGATATCTCAATATATAGATATATCAATATATAGATATCAATATATAGATATATCAATATATAGATGTATCAATATATAGATATATCAATATATAGATATTATCTATATAGATATATCAATATATAGATGTATCAATATATAGATATATCAATATATAGATATTATCTATATACATATATAGATATATCAACATATAGATATATAGATATATAGATATATAGATATATAGATATATGGATATAGATATACACATATATATATAATATCTTTTTGCAATCGTTTTAGGTCTCCTTGAAATCCCCCAGCAACTGCCAGATGGGCAGTGCCTTCGAGCGCGCGCGCTTGTGCAATGATTTGTCTTGCATGAAGCAGATCAAGGAGAGTGAGGGCCGGAGGGGGGACGTGGGTTATTAAACTGACGTGGGTTAAATGTAGGGATCAGGGGGGATTGGGTGCAATGATCCTTAACTATTAGAAAGTCATCCTACGTTTAGCACCAGTAATGTTTAAGTCAGATAAACTACGAGCAGGAAAGGATGCCATTTTGTTATATATAATATTTGTTATAGGATTGACATTAGTTACATCTATATTAGTCATATATCATGTAAATAACATCTATTTAATTGTGTTGCGTATCTAATGTGGAAAAACAATGCATCAGCCTCTTTTGGGGTATGGTTTTTGAAACCACCAAATGGTGATTCTGCGTGAGCAGGGGAAGCCAAGGCATGTCTTGATTTGAAACAACATCTTTTGGGAGGTAAAAGTAGCAAGTGCAATTTTGGGGGTTTTGGACAGAGACCTGTGAAAACTGCACAGTGTCTGGATTATAATTTTGCAGCAACGTATCTTGGTGGTTTTCATGCCTAAAAGGTTCCTTTCAAGCAGCAAAACTGAGTAAGAGGTCACTTAAAATCGGCATATCATCGCCATGGAGTCATCCAGGAGCAGCTCATTTCGTTGCAGGGTCAAGGGCCTGAGGCGGGAAGTCAACTACAAATAGTCGATCGTTTGATCCCAATCATCAGCCCCTTGGGTGAGAATGGTTTTCAAACCAACGGTATTTGGGGTTTACCATCGGTATTGAGGGTGTAGATTTACACGCCCTGGAGAATATATGTGATGAAAGTCACTGGCCCTTAAGATCTCTGAAAAAGGTATCTGTCAAAATTTCAGAGCCGCTTGGGTTTATCAAATTGTGGCATTTTTCTGGGATTTCAAGCCCTCCCAATTTAGGGTAAGCACCGACCCCCCTGGCGCTCGCTTCATCCTCCGTCCCACAGCAGGTGGATCGATTGCGTCGTCGAGTGCACAACGCAATCGAGGAGCTATGCCACTGAAAATTGACGACTTGTGGATCATTTCCAAGGCAAACCCGTAGATTTACTGGAGGGTACAGTCATTGTTAAAATATCTTATGCAATTGTTAACGTCAAAAATCCTGTTTTGGGGATACCAAATTTTTCAATCACACTGAATCGGGATTTAACGTCATCAGTTGAAGTACACAACAATCAATACCAATACTGGTATGTATATTGTACTGTGGTGAGCCCAACTACACACAATCCCAAATATGACGATCAATTTGTGAGATTACAACCATCCTCAAATGGTATTTCTATTATTGGGTCTGCCACAGTACACAGTATATTTTAGTGGGTATTCGAAGCCATTTTTTGATCCATAAATAATGTCAAAGCCCAATGAATCAACTCTGTTTATTCTGGGGGATGATGATGATGATGATGATGATGAAGTTGACGTGTGGTAACCAAGCACGGGGTTTTCCACACACAAGCTGCTTCACGCAGCCGCAGAATCAGCAGAAAACATCGCCACCAAGTCAGAAGAAGCCTGGCAGAGACGTTCAAGTGCAAAATGAGACCACTTGGCGCAGTGGTTAATTGAATCCTCACATGATGTGTTCAAAAGAGCTTGCGCAAGGCCAGCAGCGCCATCCGCACGTGCATTGAGTAACCTACAGAGGTTTTCATCCAAATTGTTGTGACGCCAATGTAGTTGTTTTCCATGAGACGGCACCCAATGGCACCGCAATTGTGCATCCTTCAGCACCCGCCACGGTGCCGAATAGAAACATGGCTGAAGAATCCTTTCCCAAAGGCGAAGGACAAACATGCTGTCAGTCAAAAGGTCAAGCTGAATATCCAATAAGTTGGAGACTTTGGCCACAATGCATGCGGCGTACACCTCAGCAGCGCAAGAACAGAGATCCAGTCCCGGCACAACCCCGTGGAATGTAGTGCCACAAGCACAGGCCAAACCCCATGTGGCTCTCCATTTTCCAATGACAGAAGCGTCAGACGCCACCAAGCGAGACGAACACGCACGAAGATGTTGAACAAGTGTAATGGAATCGCGGTCCAAATTTGCTATTAAAATGTCACCCCGATTGAAAAACAACCCAGGGTTGAGCAGAATCCAGGGTTGACATTAGCCACTTCTGTTGCATTGCCGAAGGATGCAAAGGGCCACCTGCGAGTCTTCTGCCGTGTGCGACCCTTGAGTGAGAAGGCGCGCTGCACTGCTGCACCATCCTTGGCCCAACAGTATTCCAAGGTCAGCAACAGGAAAGCCTTGTTTTGTACAGGGAACCATTGGTTGAAGGGAACATTTACAGGAAACCACGTGAATTCTTTTTCTTGCCCCACATATTTATGGGTGTCGTGTAAATTTTGAAACCAATTCTGGCGAACATCCAGCAAAGAACACGCCAGCATGCTGTATTTCAGAAGGAGAAAACACCATTGGTTTGGGATGGTTGGAACGTCATTAAATCTGCTGAATTGGTCAGGGGGTTCCCAGTGACAACATACCAATAATACTATCATATTAAGCCACTCATTTTAATATATTTAAACATCAAAAAAACATTTATATAGTTATAATCATTAGTTCATTACATAAGCATTGTAATACATATTATAGTATCATATAGTATGGTTGACCACTGATATTTATAGATGATCCATTTAATAAATATATTAACAATATCCATATCTAATGATCCATATCTAATGATACATATATTATCATATATTTATAGATGATCCATTTATATTTGTCATAAATAACTCATTTCTTCGACGATGGCGGCAACGCTTAAAAGCCCCAGGAGCTCGACATGGATGAAGAGGTCGTTCGAATGGCCTGGGAGCACAGGAAAAACACAGCAAGCGGATCGATGATGGCGCTTAGACTAGTTATGATTTCTCGTTGTGATTATGATTTATTATCGTTTTTATTTATTAGTTATTGTTTATTTATTATTATCATCATTATTATTATTATTCCCCAACAGCGTAAGCTAATGGGGTCTTCAGCCCAGATATGCTCCGGTGTGTGCTGGTGCAGGCGTCAGTCAGGTTCAACGAGGTTCCGGAAGGTTCCGGAGAAGGTTCCGCTGTTCCGGAAGGCTTTGGTGCAGAGCCGGGCTAGGTTCAACGAGGTTCCGGAAAAGGTTCCGGAAGGCTTTGGTGGAGAGCCCGGCCAGGTTCAACGAGGTTCCGGAGAAGGTTCTGGAGAAGGTTCGGGAAGGTCTTGGTGCAAAGCCGGGCCAGGTTCAACGAGGCTTCAAGTAGGTTCCGGTGCGATTTCGGGAGTGTGTCGGCGAGCTGTTAGGTCAAGTTTCAGCAAATTTCGGACGACAAAATCTGTGAAAATAAATTACTGCTGCTGCTGGGGATACCACTGAAGCTTATTTTTTATTATTACTATTTGTTAGTGTGATTTACTATTATCATTATTATTATTCTATCACTATTATCTATTTTTTTTGTATTTTTTTAAATATAGTTTATATATTACTATTTATATATTATATACTATTACTATTACTATTCCTATGACTATTACTATTGCTACTATTGTTATCGTTATTTATTGTTTGATTATTACCATTACGATTGTTATGATTATGATTACTATTATTGTTATCATAATTATGGTGATTGTGATAAATATACCATTAATCATTATGTTTTTTGATTTCACGTAGACAATTTAAGTTTAAAACTGCAGAAAAATATACCAGCAACCAACCAGTACAAAGGATTTGCGGACAGCCCGCCATGTGCCCCTAGGTCGATAATATGAAGATTGAGGCATTGGGGACTTTACGCAGATGTCGGGGGGGACATGCTGCAAAAGGATTTCGCTTCAGCCAGGGAGGAAAGGAGATAACATAGGTTTGTCAAAAACGGTGTAAACGCCAAATCCACTGGTTGTGGATAAATGTCTGCATTGTGGGTAGATTGATTAACCTCCAGCAATGAGACACAATATATAATTGGAAAGACCCAATTCCCGTCCATTTATGCATATATTTTTTTTCCTATAAACAAAAAGGATAACGGGTGATTTCCTGTTGCAGGGCAACTACGACAGAAGTCCTCTGTTGAGACTGTACATTGTACATCAAGATTTTAGAACTTGAGATGATGGAATATCCTAGATGTATGGTATGTAGAAGCTACTGGGAGGTTGAGGCCATGGCTTTTGTGCGTTGGAAAGTATCCCCTTTCTGCAATGTCACTATGCTGGAAAGTGCCCTGGAACACTTATCCATGGTTCATCATGATTCATCTTGGTGAGCCTTGAGACCCCCAGATGCCCCTGGTTTTCCTCCTGCCAGTTGCCACGCAATGGAGTCTTCACCTTCGACGGTGTTTTTGCAGCTGGACGACAGGAGGAAGTCTTTGAGGACGAGTGGTGACATGGTGAGAGCGTTGCCACAATCAGGTTTGAGATATTTCGAAAAATCATGTATTTGGGGGTGATCTGAATGTGTTGGAACTTGGGAACCTCCAAGTTTCCGACAAAATTGACCACCACTGCATGAGGAGTGGACAGCGTCGCTGCAGGACCAAACTAAAGTAACTAAATACGATTGTTTCAATTGCTAGTTCAGATCCCATTCAGAAACCTATTCTGGTAATTCTGCTGTGACTTTTTGGATCTTTTTGGATTTTTGAACACAGGATCAACAAGTTCCATGATTTCACCTAAAGCTTCTGGTGGACAATCGTCTACTTTCGTGGGCCATTCACGAAATCCGTAACAAATTGCCAGATAGTACATCCAACCTTAACAATCATGTACAATCATATTACACCCAACAACCAATGGATCTGATGGTTGGATGAATCCCCATTGTATGGGGAAAAACATGAAAAAACACCTGGAGAGATGGCCGAGGAGTGTAAAGATTTGGTCCAGTCTACTGTGGACGGTCACAACGTCACGATCTTTGCGTGCGGAGACATGAGAAAACTCGCGCAGTTGGTTGGTCGGTTGGTTGGTCGGTTGGTCGGTTGGTCATGAGAATGGGATAGATGGATATATTTTTGATGGCTTGGGGGTGACCAGAAGTGGGAAGATGATTTGGGTGTTTCAGGTACAGAAACAGAAGCAACCAATGTGCAGAATCAAGCTGGGGATATCGATGAACAAGTGGTGTTTACGGGTGCTACACCAACCTTTCAACCGGATTTATCGCCATGATGGGATACATCTGCCCTGGCCCGCTGTAGAACTGTTCACAGCACGGACGCCATGACATGCTGTGTCACCCCTAGGTACGGTCAGACCGGTGCAGGGAAAACGTATACACTTCATGGCACACCCCAGGAGGCGCTGTGAAGCTGCCGTTGTCAATGAGTTTATCCTCTTGGGTGTTGGGATGTTCAGGAGGAATCTTTTTATAAATTATAAATATTTATAACATCTCCATGTCTCCAAATCTGTGATCACCTGAAAATGATCAGCAGTTGTTTTGGTGGGAATTCTTCAAATCTAATCCTGTGCCCACCCAGCTACGCTATGCTACAGTTAGACCTCTGTGGCAGGTTCCGAATCATGTTTGCATCATTTCAGGTGGTGAACCCAATAAACTAAACCATCCCCAATTTGAAAATAAAGGGCGGGTAGGTATATTATATATATATATATTATATTGTATTATGTTATATTATGTTATATTGCACTATTATATTATATTATATTACATTACATTATATTATATGATATCATATTATATTTTATTATATTATGGTATTTTTATGTATCCATGGTAGGTTTTCTGTGGTTTTGTGGCCTTGGTTTTACCACATCGAAAGCATCTGAACGCCTTGTTTTCTCACCGAACGAACTGCTGCCAGGAGGGGATCGCAGGACGAGCCATCTCGGAGCTTTTCCAGGTTACGATGGGGTTATCATTAGGTTATCATGGGGTTATTGGTTGGAAAAAAATACCCTCTGGTAATTTAACATAGCTATTGAAAATGGCCATTTATAGTGAGTTTTCCCATTAAAACATGTGATTTTCCATAGTTATGTTAGTTTACCAGAGGGTAGTTCGCAAACTTCGTTACAGAGGAATGGTCATGGTCAAGCTTCACATCATGGCAACCACAGAGGTGGCAGTTGACAAGTGGAAATCGCCTGGTCGCTTCAGGAAGACGAAATCATTTAAGGGATGCTCCCGAGCTTATTGCTGATGCATAGACATGAAAGTTCTATATAAACATACATCATCATACATCTACATACTGTTTGTACCATTTTGTACCCCCAATTCAGATTCAACGCCATTATTCTTTAGGCTCAACTGGGTTCAACTGGTCCCTGTTCTGCCAGATTCTGAAGCGCTTCCAACAGTCCAGCAATGCTGCACGAAGCTTCGTGGTGAGTGCCTCCATGGTGGGTTCGCCTAGCCGATTTGCCCCGAATGAGTGGGCAATTTTGATGGTCACACTGGCGATCAACCGTAGCATTTTGAGATACTTCATTTTTTGTACAAACCCATAACAATAATTATATATATATGTAATATAAGCTAAGGCAACTTGTGTTATTGAGTTGAGTGTGCCATTTTTTGATATGACTATGATGACAATTGGGCATATTTGTGCCTGCTTAATATGTAGGAGTGGGCGGAAGAGCTTTCTGATTTTTGGTCGGGTCAAGCAAAAATTACCAAATTCATAGTTTGGTCACCGAAGGCACTGGAGTTTGCAGAAGATGATTCTACAGGGGTATGGCTGAAAATCGGGTATGTCCCAAGTTGTGTTGGCAGCGAGGAACATGAGTTTCGAGGTCATTAACATTCATTAACCATCATTATTAACCATCATTTCCCCATGTTTCCCCAAAAAAATCAGACAAAGCCACGCCCAGTTTGAGCTCTACCGGAACCGCTTGGTGGACTTGCTCCGGCGGCCCGAGAAGCGAGCCAAGAGCCGGGGCCCAATAGATCCAGTGGCAGGAAGAGGATTCAAAATTAGGTTAGCCATGGTTAGCCCCAAATTTGATGATCTACATTGGTTTTCAATGGTTTTCACTCTTATGGGCAACTTTGGAGTATCCACATTTGGAGGCAATGCGGCAAAGCCAAATGGATTTGCTGGGGTGATTTCCCAGTGCCCGGTTAGACTTCCAGAGGGAACTGGTTAAGGCGGGGTGTTGATCACGAGGGCGCAGGCATTAATGAATGGGGGAGTTCATCCAGAAGTAGACTTCTTGGTAAGATATTGTTCATTCTGATGCGGGACTTCCTCAAGTTTTGAACTTGATAAAGTCAAAAACGAAGCAATTCTGCGAGATTTCCTCAATTTTTGAAGTTGGCAACATCAAAAACGAAGCAATTCTGCGAGACTTCCTTCAATATAAATCCTGGCAAGGAATTATTTTCCCCTATCAAAATGTCGGGTTTTCCATATTTCAAGTGATTTTCCCCTAGTTTCTCCCAACAAAATGGTCCGCGATGTTTTCCCGTGTATCAAGGGATTTACCCCCAGCATCCCCCAGCTTGGTACATCCACTTCCGATTCTAAGGTCCTCCTTGTAGTCCTCCCTGCAGTCCCAAGCTCAGCCTGCGAAGCAGCGAGTCTGGCCTTCAGGCCGAGGGCCATGGTGAAAACGCAACGCGGGGAATGGCTGGTTGGGGTGGTCTGTGTGTATACATATATAACAGTTCTATATATATATGTATGTATTACATGTACAGATGTACATATGTAAATAATTGTAAATAGATTTACTTCAGTTCTAGCATATTTGATGTGAGTACCTAATAATATATAGTCTACATACATCTTCTGATATCTTCTGTGAGGATTGGTATTAGTATCGTCTCGACTCGTATACCATGATTATGTCAAGTATGATTATCATGTTCACCGTCGTTTTGAGCATTATACCTGTATATTTGTTCATGTGTTTCTATCTACCTGTATCTGTTTGATTGGACTCTTTTGGGATGGCTTGACACGACCTTCAGGACCCCAAAATGGGCGTTTCAATGGAGAACATACTGATGAACCATAGGATGCAGGGGTATTGGCAAATCCACCAATCTGTGGCAGAAATCCTATTGATGACAGCTTTGCCATCCAATTTTGGCATTTTCCATGGTGGCAACACGATTTTGTTGGGGTTGGCCCGGAATCGTTTGATAGGGAGATTCCCTTGGTAGTACCCTGGGCTTGGAAGGATCAGGTTGTGCGTTATCGTTGGTTCACCCACCATTTCTAGGGAAAATGATGAGACACAACAATGTTTTCATTGTCATCTTTACCTTTTAAGGTTTCCCCCAAAAACTGGTGCAAGGTGGACTCCTCCCCCCCGGTTCATCCAGTGGGGCATCGACTGGGAAGATTTTCGGCTTGCTCCGCACCGCCGCCGCAAAATAGGTTGACAACTTGGCCGAAGAAGAAGTCGAGGAGGGTGTTTCTTTTTTGTGTTTTGCTGACGTTTTTGTTGGTATGAGCGTACAAATAGAATGTATTTTACCCATTTGAAATCAATGTGTTTGCTTAATACCCATTGATTAGACACATGATCAGTATTTTTGGGTGAGCTCTTTTGGTGAATGGATGCTGATTTATACCTATGAAATGATCAATGGATATCAATGGTTTTTACCAATGAAATAGTTGTTGTGAATCTGATGGTGTAATTTTTTATTTTCAATCCGACCCGATCTTTCGGATGATCATCCTCAGAGTGGGTCGAAACCACGAATCGTTGGCGGTCTCCCATGAGGGGTGAGCAAATCCACGAAGGGCGGTCTACTGTATTCTCAAGTATTCTCAAGTAGCAAACCCCATGGGTGTTGGGGGGGGGACCCCGTTTTTAACATGCCCACATTTTGAATCACGGACTGCTGTTGACATAGGTGTGTGCAAAAAGGCGGGGATATCCGAACAGTCGCATTCCCCGTGACATACACAATCTTGGGGTCTTCCAATTTGCACACTACATTCAGTATATCTGTATATATATATATAATATGTATATATATATATATGTATATAATATATATATATATACATACATACATACTGTGTAACTATAAAGTTCTTGGGCCAATTCGTACACTTCGCCAGCAGTTGTGCAGGCTCTTTTTGCATATCAGTCCCAGAATTGGATGAACCACTTGACAGGACCCATTTGAAAAACCCTAAGCAAAGCCAACCCAATCGGCCTTCCAACGTATGGGTTTGTCTGAAACTGGGATATTCATGGATATCCCCAATTTTCTGATTGATCGTCATTTTCACCCGTAAAGTCGAGCTCAATGCTTGGGGTGAAGCCCCATTGCGAGGATGCGACGCAATTAAAGCGGCTCCTTTCCAGAGGCATTTTAGCTGGGATGGAGGAGGCTTCCTTCCCAACCGATTTTTATGTTGGTGATTTGCTAAAATGATGTTTTTTTTTTTTGGGGGGGGTCTTTGAAAAGGAGACAATGCGGCCCCTGGATCAACCTTACAATGCGACCTAGGATGATTCGACCAAAATAGTAACCCACTGATTACTGATGTGAAATCTGACCGAGAACGGCCAATGAAACCGAACAAACTCTCTATCTTCCGATTCCATTGGGAGGAATATTTGACCAAAGGCTTCAAGGAGGTCTTGGCACAAGCGTGAGCAGGTTTGCCGGATCGATCCACTCCTTTGGCCATGGAGCAGTGGCTTTGCCTTGCTACTAAGGATTGCTTGTTCTACTAAGGATATGCCACATTGGCTGCTCTTTGTCACATGGTGCTGGCCGTGGATGAGTTTTTAATGGATGCTGCCTCCTTGCGTGGACCATTCTTTTCCCTTCATGGCCACTCCAATTCAGGAAACTGAATGGAAGCTCCCTCTTGGTCGATGTTCGAATTTCGCAGCATATCCTGTCCGAAATCAACTTCTTTCTGGGCTTGGGGCACCCAGAGTACACTCTCTTCAGATGGTTTTTGTTCAGTTCGGGGCGGGCTGGTCTTCTGCTTTTTGTGCAAACCTCACATTCACAACCATCGCTGAGAGCAGCGCGGCGCAATTCTGCTGAATCTATTATCAGATTGGATCTCACGCGTGGGGGCCACCAGCGGCTGACCGGGAGACCGCGGCTTTCCTCTTTCCACACTTTGACTTTCTTGACAACGTATACAGCTCCTTCTACCTTGAGAAATGCAAGCGGTCACGAACCCCACAGTGCGGCGGAGGGGAATGCCTCCCCAATGTCGGATTTTTTTGTTTTGATTTATTTTTTAGCGCGCTCATCGGCAGCATTGTGAACATCACCCTAGCACGTTAGTGCATGAACCTTTCTTTGTGATTTATGATAGTAGATTGCCCCCTTTTTCTCACAGCTAGTGCTCTTTTTTCATGCGCTGCTGACGTGTGGTCCTTTTGCTATGTGCGGATTGCATAGTTTCAAGGCTCAGACAATTCAAAATTAAAAAAGTCATGATTCACCATGATTATGATTCGACCCTTTTTCATACTTTCTGGCAATCAAATCTAGGCGAGACACAAATGGACAATTTTATGTTATTGAATATGTTTCACTAGAAATCATCAACGAAAAGAATTTTTCTTGACCGGAAAACAGGACGTAAGTTGGAGTCCGTCCTCCATCCACCTGGCACCTTTTCTTCATCTCCTTGGTGTAGGTTTAGCCGCCCGAACCACTGCGCCCAACGCGCTCAACGCAGAGAGTCGGTTGCTCAGGAGCTTTGCATGAAAATGGTATTTATCAATCGGATCCTGCTAGAATAATGTTAACTTAATGGTAGCTTAATTTTCTATTTGTTTAATGGTTACTATGATTGCCTTTCATCAATCTCAAGCATTGCGATGATTTGCGGCGGAGAGTGCAAAAGAAATCATCCACGGAAATAAATTAGGGATTGAGAAGAGGGTATGTGCATTGGTCAAACAAGGGGTACCAGTGGGACCACAAAATTGGTCACGTTTAGGCTTTGACAACTCGTCAATCCGGTACTTTGGACCAAAAACACATAGCCAACATAGCGGGTTAGTGATTTCATGCGATTTCCAAGATGTTCATGTTCAAAGCAATGGGGGGATGGTCAGCTCAATTGACAGACAAAACATATGATTGGCTTTGGGATGGGTGGAAACCACCAGCTCGTTTTATCCTTTGGATTCTTTGGTCTGTTGCGTGTGTCCAAAAGTGGGGTATACACCAGAAAACAAGGGTTGCCCCCGCAATTCATCGGAGGATTTCGGACATGTTTTTCTGGATTTGATGTATTTTGGGATGTATTTTTGGCATCCCTTATCCTCCGATTCTGTATATATAATTATATATATGTACATATGTATATATATATATATGTCAATATATATACCATTCATGACATACTGAATTCATGTGGCTGGAGGACAGGGAACCCCGCTCGATTCAATAGATGGTCATCCCTGACAGGAGCGATTTTCCAGCATGAAAGAAGAATGCAGCAGTTGGTCGTTTCATGTATTTTGGATTTTCCAACCCATTTTTGCGGGATTAACCCAATTAACACATTATTTGTCAGGTCCTGATGCACGATGAGAACATTTATATCACTGATTAGCACTTTTGTAGGGCAAATTCGCAGCGCTAGAGCAGCTACTTTTGCCGGGGTTGCAACGAGGTTCTAGATCCCATTTGATCTTCACCATCAAGGCGCAGGGGTCGCATGGGTTCGCCACGGCAACAGCATGGGATGATCCTTTTTTCGAACCTCGGCAGCGGACAGGTGACGAGCACCGATGGGCAGAACCCACTGAGCGGCAAGCTCGTCTTGGTGCGGCCCATAGTATGGGAAAGGCATAGTGAATGCATCGTGGCACAGTTGGATGTGGATTGTGTTGGCAATTTCTCTTTCTGGTGCGATATATCAATGGATTGAGATCACCCAGACTTTGCTTCGGCAGGGTTAGTTTCTGCGGTCAGTTTCTGATGCTAAATCAGAGACATCGCACCACTGGACACTTGATTCAACGGCGGAGGGCCGTGTTGACACTGTTTAAACTTTGAACCACCAAAGGGTTGCCATGGTTTGGCATCGCTTGACTATGATTCCGGAAACTTTCTTTCGGAGTTTCACGAATATGTTTCATTTTGCAATCTTTCGTTGGATGTCGACATTTTTACGCAATCGAGCAATTCTTGAAACTCACCATGCAACCAGCTGGTGACATCAGGTAAATGCCCGCACTTCCTGCTGAAAAAGTATCTCTATTCTTCTTGGTTGAACCTGCATTTTCTTACATAAGCCATTATGTCATTGTTTCTCTATGCTTCTCTTTCTATCTATCTTTCTGTCATTTATATTCATTTATCACAGTTGTTGTCTTTTTCCCACAGTTCTATGATGTTCTACCACTTCTGCATCCAAAAAGCACTGGCTGCCCAGTGCGACCTGGGCGGCTCGGAGCGGCTGAAGAAGAGCGAGGCCAACAAAAAACTGGGGATGTAGCCGGGATATCATGCGGGTTACATACATATGATAATGCATTATATATATATATTATAATCATAATCATATACAAACTATGATTATATAGAGGTTGTGCGTGACCATATATGTATATATGATTATAGATACATGTATATGTATATGTATATGTACAATATATATATATGTATACATGTAGTGGGCATATGATTTATACTGGGTATACAGCCAATGATATAACTGGATGATTGTTTTGGGTATACCATTTAAGTTCGAGCTTTTTGGTACAATATATTCCCAGGTTTCCAACATCATCATCTGCAAATGGGGCCATATTTGATTGCTGGAGGGTATAACAATATGGCCAACAATATATGACCAATGATATCGATGATAACTGCTTGGAGGATTCTACCGGGTACTTGTATAATCTTTTGTATATAGATGTGTAGAATGTATATGTGGGGGTTTCTTAAACATCTTAAGTCACCATGGGTTTCAATGCTCAACGATGCTCAACGATGCTCAACGATGCTCAAGGGTCATCCATGGGATGATGACTTGGACCCCCGAGGCGACCGGAGAGCATCTGAAGGAGGCGATTGAAATCAATCGATCCCTGACCGCCTTAGGCGACGTCATTGAGGCGGACTTTATGGGGAAAACACGTGGATTTCCCCATGGATTCCATGGATTCAAACAGCAAAATCGGTCCGGAGTGTTGTGAAGTGGTGGATGGTTTCATCAAACAAATGCCAGATGTGGAAGATCATAATAAAAACGGTGGGATTTTGGAGTGCCCTATCTTGGGATATGGAAACGATGGGGATAGAAACAACCTGAGAATATGACCTTGGTGCACATCAGGGGATAGTCGTATTCCAATTCATGGGGGATAGCCATAGCGATTGACATCATTGATTTCAGGACATCCACCGTAGAATTGTGCGCAGATGAGAAATCCTTCCTGGAAAGTGGAGCACTGCTGCAAGAACCCAACGAAACCAATGGTTTCATTTGGCGTTTTTCCAAATGAAACCAGTGGAGTTTTTTGGCATTTTTCCAGGCGGTGGCTGAGCGGAAGAGGCAGGTTCCATACCGGAATCACAAACTGACTCAGCTCCTGCAGGACGACTGGTCAGGATGGGGGAGGCGAGGAATCCAAAGAACCAAATCACCAGTTGACCATTGGAAGGTTGGAACTGGTTGGAATATGTTGGATACACTGGCGGAGCCAAAAATGGTTGGAGCAGGCTGGACTTGCAGTTGGAACTTAGTCCTCGGCCATACTGGTTATTAGGGACTAGATGGGACCCATATGACTCAAAAACTGAATCCACGTGGCGGTTCCTCTGGTACCCAACAATAGGGGTTTCGAGTGAAGCTGGTTCGAACTTGGAACCGATCAGGAACCGGAACCAGTACATGATCCCATTTTGGGTGACCCGAGAGATTGGCTCAAGGGTCGTGTTGCGGGCGTTGGCGATGTGCTATGAAGTTGAAACTTGATGGACGGTGGGGGTCATTTTTTTGGTTTGAAATTGGGAACAAAAAAGAGGTGGCAACAATATTCATAATGTGGTCTGGTAAACCCATGTAAATCCAATTACCGTAGATGAGCGCTGAAGATAGTTCATCCTCAAATGGTATATAGGATTTTTAGGATTCCGGCATTGGCTTTGACACATGAGCTTTCACTGGTGAAGTCCCACCAATGATACGCAGAGTTCCAGGACGTAAACACTTGTGTAGATGTTGGGGTTTTCGAGTTTCGTATGGGATGTTTATGGCGTGAGACAATGAGACATGTCAACAGGAATCAACAGGTTTGGTTTCTGCATAGAATCTTTTGCATGACGAGCCTTTGCACTTGAGTACAAGCAAGTTCAAAGGAACGGTTTTTGCATTTCCATTTTGATCACAGCATGGGAAGCTCAGGAAGCGGTTCTTGCTGCGGTATGATCCTCCTGGTGTCGGATTGGAGGCGCTGATTTGCTGAAGTTTGTGAGGAACTGGGACAGTAGATGAGTTCATGGCCGCAGTTCTCAGCCCAGGATTGTGTTGAATGGGGTGTTGAATACCCATTGTGCACACCCATGCTGCTTGGTTTGTGGATTACTAAGGTTCCAAGTACAGCACCAAATTCGTAAAACTTGATCTACAGTATCTACAGGGTCCCTCACCCAACATTTGCAACTAGTCATCAACCTCACGACATCCACATCCCGCGGCAGGTGGAAGATGACGATCACCAGCTGTCGGTTCAGCACAAGAGCCTCCCTGGCAAATCGGAGGTGCACTCTGCCAAGGCCGGGAGGATGACGGGCCCGGACCCCAGATGTTTGTGGTGTGTGATTTTGACTCATAGCATGTATTATATAATATTAAATTATACAGATATTTCAATATTTCACAATATATATATATATATATATATATGAGTAAATTATTGTAGTACTAATATTTAGTATTTGCTTCGCCTTGGCCTTTCCGAGGTTGCAGAAAACTCTCACAACCGATAGGGGACGACCCTAAGTTGTGCATGGCATTAAAATTAACATATAATTGTGTCCGCTACTCACATATATATATATATATATATATGTATATATATATATTATGTACATATCATATGATACATCCTGGCAAATAGGTATATTATACATATATATATATATATATGTATATACAATATGACATTGTGATATATGGATAATGTGATATAGCAGTCACATCTCAACGTATCTGTTGATGGCTCCAGGACATCAACGGCCTGGTGGACGCCTTGATCGACGAGGAGTCCACGCTGCTCACCCGCCGGAGGCACCGAGAAGGTTTGATCCAACTGCTCTCGAGGCTCTACGAGGTGGACGTCACGGCAGAGGCCATGGGGCCATGGGGCCATGGGGCCATGGGGTTTTCAAGCCCGGGATATGGGTGGATATAGGTGGATGGTTTTTCATAGTCAGTTTTAGTGTTTTTTTTGATGTTAACTATCAAAGTTAGATAGTTTGGTGGATAGAACATTAGCTGATAAATGGTTGGCTAATGTTGGTTGATGATTATATGGGGTTATACTATCCTATACATATTGGGGATTGTCACCGGCTGGGAAATCCCTTCTCAACCAGCCCCATTTTTCGCCTTGGGATGGATATGATGGGCATTGCAGTAGGGCTTACAGTAGTCAGTGTCCACCTTGCCGGAAATGCACAAAACTGCTGATGAAGGATTGAACCGCAGTTTAGTACTGTTTGACGCCTGATCCACTTTTTTTTGTGTCAGTATCCATGGTTGAACTTTTCGGGCCGGGTGCCCAATTTTGACCCAGACAAAAAAACGACGGTTTATTGAATGGGGAATTCTCCCCTTAAATATCCTTAAATGGACTTAAAATCAGCTTTGTGAATTTCAGTGTCATCTGCCCAGAGCAACCCCTTGGGTCTTGAATCAGGATGGGGATGGGGGTAGTCTTGGGAGAGGATTTCTGAGTCCAATCCCAAGTCTGGAAGATCTCCACCTCACCAAAGCCATGAGCCCATACCTTGGGTGCCTATTCCGCATTGTCAGCTAGCACCAGAATCATTATAAATACCCATTGCAAGCGGACCCCACCCACTTTGACGATCATCTCGCTTAGCAACTGTCTAGTAACGGAGCTTATAACCATTTCTCATTTAGTGCTAGTAGGAACTATCAGGCTATCAGCCAGGGTGTTCAACTTTTAAGGTTTCACTTTGAGAAATCCTCATTTCAGTCGGTAAAAGCTGGTAAAGATAATATCGTTTCGACACCAAATCAGTCTACATATTCTCCACTTAGGCTCAGGAAGAAGCCAACAACGAGCCAGAGACCCATGAAGCTCCCGATGGCATGCAGGGAGCTACCGTGGTGCTGACGGGTCTCAGGGAGCCGCACCAGGCTGGCAGGTTGATGATCTGATGGGAGGTTGATAGACTATCTGACAGTTCTGATAGTTGGCGATCGATGATTAAATATGATTAATATATCATAATATATCATATATATATATATTTCTTTCTTTTTTTGGAAGGGAGGAATTAACAAAATATAGTCTTGTAGGTAAGATAGCCGTAGGTGTGAATGATGGTTAATGCATCATTGCCCACGAGAACACCATTTCATGGGAAGAGGTATTTGAGTCATCCCTTCCATGTTGAGCTCGTCAGTGGCAGGTTTTCAATGGTGAGATCGCGACGGTGGTGAAATCCAAAGGTGAGAAGCAAAAATATGAAGTTGAAGTCAAAGGACCAGCAACACCCACACCATCCACACCCAAAACAGCTGGTGTTTTGAAGAATGCAGCGCTCCAGTCGCCGCATTTTTTGGTCACAAGTTTAATAAACATACCCGTGGGACCCATATTTTTCAGCTGGCAAATGTCGATCCAGGACAAATCGTGAAGGTCAAAGGGAAAGAACACCTCCTGATGGCTAGCAGCAACTCAGCTGACCTCTCAACCGAGCAACTTCTCTGGTGTCCGAAGATTGGACCACCATGGGTTGACGGTTTCACAGACAAGCCCTTGCTGGTAGTGTACTTGTCATGTTGTACCCTAACTACCCAACGGATTGTGTCTCTGTTCCTTAGAGCCTTAGAGCACTGGAACAAAGTTCAGGTTCAGGGACTTTGGCTCCTGGAGTGTTTGTACCTTGGTCGTTGGAGTTGTGCAGCTGGAGACTTGGGATATGGAAAAGTAACGTGAGATGAGTTTTGACTCACTGTTCTCCGATGACAATTGAACATTATGAAAACATGTGGAGCTATTGTTTCTATCTTTTCTGGACAATATATTCATGTATATATATATTATATTCCATGATCTTTTGCTATTGCTGCACCACTGGCTACATTTTTGGCAGCTTGCAGCTCCCGGCTTCACGCTCAGTCAGTTCAGTTCATATAAGCAATTGTCAATCTGGGTTTGCCTGAAAATGGGTTATATGCCCCCTCAAAAAATGGCTAATCTTTATTCGGGAGCCATGGGAGTCTAGGTATCATTGGGTATCATACTGTAGGAATCATACTTTTAGATGAACTCATCTGACAATGCAACTGGCTATTGGTTCTGCAGGAGGGTATGGACATAAACAGGTTAACAATGAATATGTTTGCTATGATGAGATATTTGAATAAGGGGACCATGTCGATAGCCATCATAAGTAGTGTTGTCAATCATATTATTAGTTTGGTCATATGTTGTGAATCATGATGGTTGAAGACACCGGCACATTCATGCAGAGTTCCTTTTGAACTGCTTGGTGGTCTCAAGTTTTGTTTTCATGGCATCTCTGCTTGAGATGCAGCGAGGTGAACTTGCTTGATTGCTCGACCAATCGTTGGGTATTCATATCCCGGTTCTCAGTGGTTTCTCCCCAAGATATAGAACTTTTATATGCCATGCTTGAAGCCACCGGATCTCAGTCCCAGCTTCAGCATCCCCACTCCGGCCCCGAGGTGGCTATTCGTGGGCTTCGAAATCACGTGGAGCTCAACGGTTGCATCGCCAAGGTGTCAGAGTGTCATGAGGAGTCGCAGCGCTACGAGGCGCTGAAAAGGGCTGGAAGGGGTTGGCTGAAAGGGATTTGATTCAATTGGATCTATTATTTCTACAGGGTTGAAAGGAGGGAATGGCATTTAATATTGATGGGACTGCAACTGCAAGTTGGGGGTTGATTGCGGACTTGACATGCCAGTTGTGGTGGGGGTTTCACATGGCACTTTCCATCCAGACCAAGCTGCTGGGGACTTGAATTTCCAGATCCAGGGAATTCCTTGTAGGAATGGGGGTAGCCAAAGGATAATCCCAAACCCGGGATGGAAGAGCCTCTAAGACACCTGGCGGAGGTGAGGGCTCTGGACAGTGGACAACTCTTTCGTGTGAAGAAGGTGCGGTGGGAGATGGGACTGATCCACTATGAAAGATATTTGAGGTGGCTTGAGTTCGACGGCTGGCGACAAATTTCTTAGCAGTCAATAGCTGCTGGCGACGTTTGCAGTGATCTGAGTTGCTGAGTCATTTCACTGACTCCCAGCAGCAAGAATCTAAGTGTTGGGAAGTGGGGGCTTGGCAATTTTTGGAGGAATCAAGGCAAAATATTTGATCCCTTCAAATACGATTTGTGACTTAAGAAAAGTGTTGTTTTTGGGGCCTGATGTCCTCACACCCTGTGTTCGTACTGTGGCAAACTCAAGAATCAACCATCCTCAAGTTTGCCAGAAATGTGTGATGTAAACGATCTCCAAAACGGGATTTATTATTAGGTGCAGCGCATTCTCAGCTCTCCAACTTTTGGGTTCCCAGTGGCGATGACGCCGATGGCGCAGGAGAACGTGGTGTTGATTGAGGCGAGTCCGGGAGTGCAAGCTGCCGCCACAGCTCTCAAGGCGCCTTCCCTGGCTGCAGTGGCGGTGACAGATGACTGATATCTGATATCTTCAGATTCGACGACGACGAGGATGATGATGATGATGATGATTGATTGATTGATTGATTGATTGATTGATTTGATTGATTGATTGATTGATTGATTGATTGATTGATTGATTGATTGATCGATTGATCGATTGATCGATTGATCGATTGATCGATTGATCGATTGATCGATTGATCGATTGATCGGTTGATCGGTTGATCGGTTGATCGGTTGATCGGTTGATTGATTTGGATTGATTTGATTTGATTTGATTTGATTTGATTTGATTTGATTGATTGATTGATCGATTGATCGATTGATCGATTGATCGATTGATCGATTGATCGATTGATCGGTTGATCGGTTGATCGGTTGATCGGTTGATTGCTTGATTGATTTGATTTGATTTGATTTGATTTGATTTGATTGATTGATTGATTGATTGATTGATGATGATGATGATTGATGATGATGATGATGATTGATGATTGATGATTGATGATTGATGATTGATGATTGATGATTGATGATGATGATGATGATGATGATATCTCATGATTATTGGGTTACAACCTGATTTTGGTTGGCCACACCATTTTTTTGTATCTTCTTTGTGTTAGTGGATGTATACTATATATATATATATGGTCCAGCGTTCCAACCCCCCTCCACCCCGGCCATGGTCATGGGTCAGCCATAGTACTGTTCCCCTCCCCCCCCTGTGGTGTGGTGGGGGTGTGGTATGGTATGTTGAGTATGCATGGTGTGTATGGTCGGTCTAGCATGGCAGAACGTATGGTATGTTTGGTATGTATGATAGGTATGGTACAGTATGTATGGCATGAATGGTTGGTATTGTATGGATGGTAGGTATGGTATGTAAGTCTGTTGGTTATGGTATGTTTGATGTGACAGTATGTATGGTCTGTATGGTATGTATGGTTACTATGATGGGTATGGCATGTTTCCTATGTAAGGTAGGTATGGTATGTATGGCATGTATGTTTGGTATTATAGGTATGGTAGGTGCGGTAATCATGTTTTATATGTATGTTATATGTGGTATGTAGGATTGTTATGATAGGTATGGTATGTATGGTATCATTGGAATGTATGGTAGGTACGGTATATGTTAAACACATGTAGTGTTGTGAGAGTACACAGGTAGTAAATAGGAAGTAGATACATAGCACATGTATATATAAATAGGTAGCACATAGGTACTTTGAGGGATTATGTGTGCTACGTAGGTCCTCTAAAAGGTAGCATGTACCTAGTAAATGCGAGGCTGGTAGTCAGAAATGCTGCAAAGACCTAGCAAATACGGGGCTGGACCTCAGAAATGCTTCCAATAGCTTGCAAATAGAAGGGAAGGGGGTGCTACCTGGGGACCCATACCATAGGCAGGGGTAGGAACACGGAACACGAGGGATGAGTATTGATGCATCGTAATACAGTATATGTTTGTATGTGTACAGGTATATATGGACGTATCTAATCTACATATATATATATAATTATACATGTATACATGTATACATGCATACATGTAGACATTACATTACACTACAGTACATTGCATCACATTACATTACATTACATACATTACATGACATTCCATTGCATTGCATTGCGTTACATTACATTGCATTACATTCCATTAATACATACATTACATGACATGACATGACACGACACGACACGACACGACATGACATTACGTTACGTTACATTACATTACAATTACATACAAGATGCAAGTACATGTATCTTCACATTGCGTGTAGATCCCCATGGATGTTGGTTCAACCTGGCATATGCCCCCGTTGTTTTGTGGTTTCCAACACCGCTTCGGTGGGTGAAGGAGAACCGCGACGCCATGAAGGAGAACAAGGATCCCAACAGCACACCGCGAAAGGCCCGAGACAAGGAACGGGAACCTCAACGAGGCGAGGAGGAGAGCGACGTCTTTGAGATTGGATCCACGGTCCCTTTGGCAACGGTTGGTGTATAGAATATTGTTCAGGATGTTCAGGTCTCATGGTTGACATGATTTTCTCCGGGAAAATGAGCTCCTTGGGGTATCCCCTTTTTTTTTTGGCCAAACCCAAATCCGAACTGACGCGGAGGTGTCACAGGCAAGAATGATGGTTGTGACAGGCAATTCTAGCTGGTGTCACGTGGCCAACAACGATAAGGGTTTAGCTGTAACTCATCAACGTTTCTAGAGCTTCATTCTAGAAACAAATGTTATCAAATGTTGATCATTTAAATTCTATAAATGTTGGGGTTTAGCTGTAACAAATTGGATGTTTCGGGTTCTTTCGTAATGGGCAGCCCGAGCGCCGGTTTGTGAGCGCTGAGCGCATCATCTGAGGTGGAGTTGGTCGGCCTGAAAACAGCGCAAGCCTATAATGGCCAGCAAGCCGAGGTGGATCTCAGAGCATATGGCTTACATGCTCAAAAACCATCAAAGTGGTGATTTATCCGTTGGAAATGGTGGATTTAACCACAACAAATTAGGATTTTACGAATACGTGGATTTGTAAACCATCAAACTATCGGGTATTTCACTATCAAACATCTGGATCATCTGGATCTAACTTATGGAGATTTACATCTCCATGGAGGGTCAATGAAACTCTGGTTCTATCCAGTTTTCGCCTGGTGCAAAATAGACCACAGTGATTTCCCACAGTTGTTAATGTGAGTTGGTTCGAACATGGGGAATATATACCTTCAATTTGGCTGGGGAAAATGAATGAAAATGATGATTGACCAGAATTACTCATCAATCATCATTAACCACAATTAACCCTGGAATTTCGCGCAGGTCCTGTCCGTTGACCGTGTCCGGGGGCGCTATGAGATCCGGTTGCACGACGGTCACTCGGTGTCTGAAAACGGGGTCAGTCTACTGCCCATATTGCGATGATTGATGCGGCACATTCTTGCTGTAACCATCAAAGCTTGGGCTGTGGAGAGTGTACCAGGGCTTCGACCCGTAATTAGCCATCTCGGTTCGAGTTGTTCTGGAAAGTGTGTTGGACACCCCCCCCAAAAAGTTTGGGGTGAATTTTGGGAGATTCCCAGGCCATGTGATTGCCACAGCTCGGGTTACCAGTGATCAGTAAGTTCTCGGCAATGGGGCGTATTATCGGAAGTGATTGGAAACCCAGATTCAGAATTTCACTAGGCATTTAGGTAGTTATATTCCAAGTTGAGGAACAAAGGTACGCCCTGTGACTCAGGAAACTTTAAGCCGAAGACCAACGCAACAGATTGCTTTATTAAATGGCTTGACTGCCAAGACCATAATTTTCTTGGTCCTATAACCAGAGGGATTTTTGTTTGCACCCTAATTTCTGTCCAGTTTGTTGGGTACAGTACCCAATCGCTTGATTTGTACATCCAAGTCCATAAATCTTGTTCTGGATGCTATGATCTTTCCGTTTTGTTGAGTATACAGTATATATGTATATATATATATATGGATTGTCCTGGACCCATTGCACCCACTTTCATCATCCTGGTTTTGGGTTGGCGAATTCACGAAATATTCGCACAATCATTATATGTTTCCCACATTATATTGGCTGGACAGTTGATGTGCGAATCATAACATTGATCTTTGTCATTTATGTTTGATGATGGATCATTGAATTTCCGGATCTTCCAATGTTTGATCATTGGACAGTTGAAGCCTTGATCTTTGTCATTAAACCCCCATTGATTTGTTCCTGACAGGTTCTGTGAAGACCATCCGGGCTGAGAACGTGCGGCTGGTCGGCAAGAGCCCACGGCCCAAGCGAAAGGAGAAAGGCTGAGGGGCTGAGGCCGGAAACGCCAAGCCGCCAAGAGTTGGAAGCTCCAAACATTGAGATGTTTGGTAAAAAAATACATAGGATATTGTAATATTCTAATAACTGTATCATATATAATATATATATATGGAGATTAGATAGATAGTTATTATACATATGTACAGAATGTAAAGTGTCAGGAACATTTCCCAAAAAATCCTCGAAGCTTTACCAGGGGTTTTAACCCAGGTTGGCGGTCGACGGTTTCACTGCACGGTCTCACCATTGCGTCAATTCGCGATGCACTGCCAGGGTAGACCAAAACTTGCCGAAAAACTCGACGCCCGATGTTGCTGAGGTGTTTTCTGTGTATTTCGGAGCGCACGGATTGAACACTGGGAGATTTGTGGAGGCGATTCAGCGGCATTGCCGGCCTCACCTGACCCCCCAGCAAAAAGTGTCAAAGAAAGTCGGAGGAAGCTCTAAGAGTATGAGGGTCAACCAAACACCAAATTTGGACATCCCAACGCCGAGTCAACGCATAGGATGTACAGGGTTTCACCCTCACCCACACAGCTTGCGTCACTGCGTCACTACCATGTTTTGCTTCTTCCTTTTGATGCAAGATGATCCAAGCACCTGGAAATTTTGCAACTGCTTTGGGCTTCGTCAAGCGTTGATGCTGTGGCAACGTGAACACATCCTGGAGGATGAATCATAGGAAGAACAAAGAACAACACCATCGGAGTGGAATTAATTGTACGTGTATATATATATATATACATAGTATATTATACAGTCGGAAAGTCCTAAAGTGCACAGATAGCATAGTTTTAGGATGTGGGCAGCATTGCCCAAGTCTGCAGCAGGAACTCCCCGCTCCAACTCCATGAGTTTTTTCCGTATTTCCCCAGTGATTTTTGGGTCATTGGCCGGTTCCAGCACCATCTCTGGGGTAAAGTTTATCATTACTGTAATCCTTTGCAGCTTGCTGCACCTGGGCGAGATGTTAGTGGAGAAGTCCATCCATGTCAGCTTGCTGAGTGGCCGCAGCCTAACTGTGAAAGTGCATCCAGAGCTGCTGGTGCTGGACCTCATCCATCAGGTCTGTGAAGTCTAGAACTGGGGGCAGTTCACCAAAAATTCATACAGGATGTTGTCCAAGAGGCCAAGATCAACTATCATGGGGGTAGAATGGGATGGTGGATACTCTCTGGTAAATCAACATAGACCCTGAAGATAAGCCATTTTTGGTGGAAACTAATCTTCCAACCCCTATCTGCCTGGCTCTATGTTAATTTGCTGAAGGGTATATGCAACCAACAATTCAAGATTCGGGTTTGTCTGAAAGCGGGGGTGTACTCTATCTTCGAAGGTCTGGCCACGAGCAATGGCTGTGGGGAAGAGATGAGAAGATGACGATGATGAAACCCGCGGTTCACACGGATGCATCACATATTGCTTGACAGATCTTGGCATAGTATCGATAGTACATGCATGATCATGCATGCAATACATGCGTTACTGTATTCATGTGCGAAGACGGATCAATGTGCCAAACAAGAAAGTGAGTGAAGACATATTCATGACATAACCATACATAACCAACATCTGAGCTGCTGAAAGAACTCTGAACACTTGACACGCCAAACCATTCAGGATTTTTTCAACATTAAAGGCACTCCAAGACATGGCTTGCACATGCTTGCACTTTCAACTCCAATGGTCATTTCATACAAAAATGATGGGCCAAAATCCTCAGCAACCAGCCAGTGTTTGTGGGATTTCAATGTCCAAATGTTGGCCGACATGACAATTTTGGTGGTTAAATTGACCATTTGTTTTGGTTGACATAACATTTTTCCCCACATCTTTGTGTGGGGTTCTTGTTTTTGGTTGCGTACTCCCGTCCGTACCGCCTCCTCCGCGTCCTCCCGCCTCCTTCCGCCCACCTACACTTACACACATACAACAACTTACCCACAACTTGCTCACACACAACTTACTCACACACACAACTCTCCAACACACAACTTACTCACACACAACTCTCCAACACACAACTTACTCACACACAACTCCCTGACGCACACACACACACAACTTACTCAAACACACACACACAACTCTCCAACACACAACTTACCCACACGCACAACTTACTCACGTTCATTCTGCGTGGCAGGCGTGGCACTTATGGCACTGGGCTGGCTCTGGTTGCGTGCTTGGCTCCCGTTTGGCGCCGTTGTCGCTGCGGCTTTTTGTGTGGCAGGCGTGGCACTTGGCGACATCGACCTTCACTTTGCATGGCAGGCGTTGCACTTGGTGACACAAAGTTTCTTTATGCGTGGCATGAGTGGCACTCGGTGACATCGATGTTGCTCGTTGAAATCAGATGTTGTGCAACTAGTTTGACTTGCTTCACTCTTCTGCGTTGAGTGTGTTGATAGCCATTTCTCACGATATGCTGTTTCTGTGCGCTTCGATCCAGGCACGGGACACAACGCACACAACGCACAGAACGCATACATTGCATACATACATACATACATACATACATACATACAATCATTCATTCATTCATTCATACATACATACATACATACATACATACATACATACATATATAATACATACATACATACATGCATACATACATACATACATACATACATACTTACATACATACATACATACATACTTACATACATACATACATACAAAATCATACATACATACGTACGTACATTGCATACATACATACATACATTGCATACATACATGCATGCTTGCATGCATGCATGCATACATACAGACAGACAGACAGGCAGCCAGGCAGGCAGGCAGACAGACAGACAGACAGACATACAGACATACAGACATACAGACATACAGACATACAGACATACATACAGACATACATACATGCATACATACAGACAGACATACATACATACAAACAAACAAGCAACTCTCTCACATGCATGTCTTTCATACGCACCTGTCACCATCTTATGTCTCTTTCCTGCCTTTTGCCATTCCGTCTGATTCCGTCTTCATCTTTCTTTTGTAACTTATTGGAAGAAGTTGACATGTGGGGTTGTCCGGTCCTTTAATTTTGCGCTGGTACCCCAAGAGTTTGATGATGGACCATCGTTTTTCCCTTTTAAATGACCCATTCATTCGGGGCAAAACTATCCAGTGGTCAAATATGGTCAAATAACATCAAATTGGGTTAAATCAGATTCGATCCCAATCTTGGCTGGTTAAGTACGACATTTTAGCGACGCATTCCCGAAGGCCGAGGACGAGTTCAATTTGCACATCTCGGCCGTGCTGAATCAGACTGGCGAGAAACTACTGGGGAGCTCCACCCTGCGAGCTGCCCAGTTGTCTGATGGGGACACAGCCCCTGAGCGCACATCGGGGTGGGGGAAACCCTGGCTGCCATAAACCACCAATTGTGGATGAGTTCACCATATTTGCGTTGACCACCGTAAACTTGGAAACAATCAATGTGTACGCTGCTGCTTGAATGGAGTGTGCCATAAGTGGGAAAGCATAGTACCTACGTAGCTACATTTTTTTTGTACGGTGTCTAAGCTTGGCCATGGCTATGTGGACCTGGGTTGTTGGCCATAGGGTACCAGTCGACCAACAAAAATGGGTTATTCTGCCTACTTAGCCATCCATTTTTAGGCCAAGAGTTTTGAGCCATACTCACGTACCCACATAGGTTTGACCAAAAAAGGGGATTTGTCCCTGATAACAAATCAATTAAAGAATAGGGAAAATGAGGTAAACTTTGAAAGGACCCTGGGATGGAATTGAGTATCTTGTCTTCAGACAACCCCCAAAACATGGTGTGGTCATATCCCCCAACGATGAGGACTTTGTAAACCCGATGGCGGAATCCCCTCCTGCTGGTGGGTGGATGAGCATCCTGCACATATCAGGGCAGATATTTCTCAGATGACCATCGATAAATGCCATCGACATCATGTTTCGTTTCCTTTCAATCCTGGTTCCACCACAACCTGCGCCCAAACTGGATGGTTTTGATAGACAACCCTTGATAACGGCAACAAAACATGATAGTGGTAGTGATCAAAATTGTAATAACGTTACAACAGCAGTGACCGTACTGCAGTTATCCCGAACACTGAGAGTAAGTGAACATGATAGGTGAAACACACACGCACACATACATATATATGTGGTCACCACCCCCACATCGACCCTCATCTATATATAACATGCTACTGCATGTATCCAATACCGCTACAATACTGTAATTTACAGTGTTTTTTGTATGTTAGTGTCAAGATATGTTACAAATGAACCTTTCCAAATGTAGGTTGCATTTTTGATCAATTTTTCGTTCGAATTTTAAGCTTCATGGCTTCATCTTTTTCCCAACACTTGTCCATCCTCACAGCTTTCTTCTTTCATTGTCCGTGAAATAAAATCAACACGAAATCAAAATCAAAAAACTTCAAAAAACGTCAAAAAACAAAAAACACAAAAAACAATTCTCAGAGACTCTTGGCTGCACCACTCCACATCATCACGAAATCAAAAAAAAGAAAAACCGAAAAACAAAAAAACAAAAGCATTCTCAGAGACTCTTGGCTGGACCCTCCATCCGCAAGACCTCTGATTCTTTTTGTTTTTTTGCTTTTATCGAAGTTTTTCTGGGGTCTCGTGTAGACCCTTCCATCCACAAGACTTCTGTTTTTTTTTACCTTTTCTGTTTATTGTGTGGGCCCCGTGTCCCCAAGACCTTTGGATTTTTTTAATGTTCTCCAAAGTTTTTCTATTTTACCGTCTGGACCCTTTCCCATCCACAGAACATCTGGAAAATGTCTTCTGATCTAACTCTAAGTTCACACTCAAAGTGATCTTCTCGGCACGACACAACCAAAATGGACATTTCAGAAAGAGCATCTTCCGAGACCAACTTCCTTACAATGTCAAGCCATTGCACATGCATTCATGTCACAATTTCTGCTCGGCCTTGTTCCTTGGATGTCTGTCTTCACTGCAGCCTTCTCTAGCTCTCTGTGTTCCAGTTGCTTCTCAAGTCAAGTTGACATGGCGAATATGAGCACGGCCTTTGTTGACAGCTTCAACAGGGAGAATGGCGACAAAGATAGGGCTATCACCTTCGATGAGGCAGTGGTGCATGTGAACGGTCTCAACCTCAATGGACCTTTGACCACGCCACTGAAGTCGGACCGTGCAGTAGGTGATGTGAATGTGGGCGACTTGCCTCTGAGGGACATGGTTGACACAGGTGGCAAGGTGGAACAATTCGCAGATGTGAGCCACAGGTGGAACAGTTCTAGCTCGCAAGGTTCACGCTGCACAGTGGATGTACTGGCACCGCACACAGAACCTCTGGTCAGCCACAGGCCATATGCTCGAGGAGCTTCGTGGCTAGATTGCTTGTACCTGACCTACATGCTGTTGCAAAAGCAAATGTGCTTTTTGTGCGTTCCGACTCTCATTTCTTCATATCCTAGACTTGTCCACCGTGCTCGTTACATCGAAAGCTTGTGTTCTCAATTTTTCTGGTGTTCGACTGCGCAATTTTCCACTAACCAAATCATGGCATGAAAACTGAACCTTCAAAAACTTTGCACCATCACATGATGTCTCGCATGTCTGCTGTCTGTGTCTGCTGCCCCTGATCCTGCAAAGATTACCTTCCCATTCAACTTTACCTTCTGCATCTTCTTCAAAAAGTGCAAAAAGGTTTTGAAAAGAGAAGGACAACTTTTTTAACATGAAAAACATGTTGTCGAAATAGATGCGATGCGCCCCGTGGGTCAAGGTTCCTGTCAGACTGTCAGAACCTCTGTCTTCACAATGGCACTTCGACCAGCGCCACTTGCGAAGGCCAAACCTCCAAGGAAAGACCTCAACAACGCAGAGACGGGTTCCTTGTCAGAGTCTTGTGACTTTGACTTCGAAAGCGTAGCGCCCACGGAGCTGAATGAGGAGTGCCTGGAATGAGCTTCTGTCTTCGCAGTTTTGTTGTGTTGTCTTTTCCTTTGTTCTTTTTTTCCTGGGTATGTGCTTCACTTTGTTCACCTTCTCATTTCAAAACTATGGATTGCACTGCCGTTTCCTATCCGGCAGCGGAGCTGAACACCCCCTCGATTTGTGCCACGGACCCCTCCTGGGCCTCCACCGCCCACTCCATCCGATATCTTGGGCATGGTTCCAAGGACGCCGCCATTGCTTTCCCCTCCAGCTCCGAGTCAGTTGCTAGGGTCTCCACCTCGCACCCCAGAAATACACTTTAACCTCCGCCAAGTTTCCATGACCTTCTCGACGTTCGATACCCCTCACCAAAAAGTTCTTCAAAGTTACTGTCTATGTGCCAAGCTGAATTTCTAAGACACTTTCGTGGAAACTTGTCAGCCGGAGTAAGTTATGAGCTGATTGCTAGTGACAGGTGTGAGAGAAACAGTCTCTTTGGGCACGGGGGGTCGTGGTGGGGGGGCTGAGCATATATGTATATACATAACATGTGCATATATAGTTCGTAGTAAAAGGACAGTTGAGTAGTTTAAGTTAAGTACTGTAACTTAGACAAAGTAGACAGCAAAAAAAGTTCCTAGGGTAGAGGCAACAAGAAGCAGCAAAGAGCAAAGAAAAGTAGAGTGCCAGAAAGAATGTCAGATAGAATGTCAGAGAGAATGCCACATCAAATTCCAGATAGAATGCCAGATAAAATTAGTTTGAGAGTATCTGTCAGAGAAAATGCTAGATGAAATGTTAGAGCAAATGTTCGAAAATATGTTACTGTAGATGGAATATCAGATAGAATGCTGGAAAGAGTGAGATCGAATGCCAGAGACAAGCATCCTAGATAGAATGCCAAAAAAACCGGTAGAATGTCGAATATGATTTCAGAATATCTGTCAGATAGACTGCCAGATGAAATGTCAGAGAAAAAGTCCGAAAATATGTCAGATGTCCGATAAAATAAAAGCTAGCATATCAAATGGAACGCAAGATATAAAGATCCCAGATGGAATGCCAGATAGAGTCTTGGCTGAATTTAAAAAACATCTGTCAGATAGAAGGCCACATGAAATGTCAGGCAAAATCTCCGAGAATAAGTCAGATGGAACTTCAGATGCAGTGCGGATAGAATGCCAGATGGAATGCCAGAAAAAATGACGGATAAAATGTCTTGTGGAATGTCCGAGAATATGCCAGACAGAATGGCAGATATAATGCCAGACAGAATGTCAGATAAAATGCCAGACAGAATGTCAGATAAACATGTTACAATATACGTCAGATAGAATGCCGGGTAGAATGCCAGACAGAATGCCAGATAGAATGTTAGACAGCCAGCCCGAAATATGTCAAATGAAATGTCAGATGAAATGCCAGATAGAATGTCATATAGAATGCCAGATAGAATGTCAGAGAAAATGTCGGAATTATGTCAGACCAATTGCCAGAATATTGGTCAGAATTGGCGTCGCATAGATTGCCAGTTGGTGGGAATCACTCGAAGAAAGTATTTTTGTTTGAATGCGTATCTAAGTTTGTTTGCTGGGTTTGTTCCTGCTCATGTACTATTTGTTGCTTGCTTTGCATGGTAGGGGTCACAATGGGGACCACATCCTTCATATGTGGTGTTTTTCAATTTACATGATTTCTTGAAAAGCACGAACTAGACCCATGGCAGGCAGCAAATTCAATTGCTGTGCATACTTTAGCAATACTTAACAAGACATAGCAGCCCCTTCTGCCATGCATTTCTCTCTCCAGACGCTGCCGTAGTCACTTTTCAATGCAGATGCTTGTGATGATGATGCTGTTGCTGCATATGGTGATGGTGATGATGATGATGTTGTTGATGATAATAGTGGTGGTGATGACGACTGTTGTATCATCATTATTCTCATTCAATTACAGCACTACTAGTATTTGTTTTCATTCTACCGCTATGTTTTGAATGGGAATTGTTCTTACATATTATTACCATGATCATCTCTTGATATCTCTTGATTTTGTTGTTGATGGTGATGGCACTGAGTTATCACCAACACTTCACTGGATTTCCCTTCCCAGACTTCCCAGACTTCCCAGACTTCCCAGGTCACCGCCTGTATCAGCCCGCTTCCTGCGGTGGCTGGCTGTCGCTGGGAAGGTCGCGCCTTTGCGGCGATCCAGCCACCCGGAATGGTTCTGGCCTGGGGCTCCAGCTCACACGGAGGCGCCCTTGGGCGGCCACGTTGAGAAGGGTGACTAGACAAACATCAAATCTGCCAACATCTGTGAATTATACTGTGTTTTTTTGTTTTTGAAAGGGGGAACGGATCAGGAAAACATGGATTTCTGAGGCTTGAACAATTTTAAGTGGGAAATTATCCATCAAAATGCGGGACTTATTCAAAAGAAATGGGGGATAGGATGGGATAGCTATTCACGAAGTATTTGGATGCAACCATTAAAAGTGGGTTTAGCCCCCAAAACTCTTCGCATTTTTTGTCAAGAATATGTCCCAGGGTCAAAATATGGTATGTGGTTTCTGGTCATCCCATGACTATTAGAAAGACATGTTAACCTCAATGGCTTTCGACCATCTTCCAGCCCCTTTCGATGGAACATCGGCCCTTGGTGGATGCATTCAACACCATCGGCTCGGTTCTGTTCATCAACATCTCCAGCTGGCTTATATAAAATGTTTGACATCTCTGGGCATGGGTGGAAGCACCTTTTACAGTACCCAATTTTGGTGTTTCATTTCGACCAATAGCTATTTGTCAACACCAAAATAGTTGATATCGCTGGATGTTCGTCTCCCCACAAACCCATAGTGAATTCCGCCTTAACTAATATCTGTATGAGTGGTTCACACTCTGGAGATGTGTCCTGTCAAGCGCTTGACTCTGATGGCCCAACGAGACACTTGTGGCGGTAGTAGGGGGGCCAAATTTGTGCTGTGCTTCAACAGGCAACGGTGATGAAGTTGCAGATCATCTTCATTCAGTGTTTGGGCAGTGGATTTCTTCAGTTCAGAGGGTCCCGGGGTAGAGAAACGCGAATAATATCGCGCCAAGGTCCTGACCACACATTTTCGTTTGCAGCGGCTGTATCATTGCATGTTCAGTGAATTCCTGATTTTTTCCTGATTTTTTCTACGTTTGCCACATTAGTTGGTACATATCTATATGTACCTGTATGTATATATATATATACATACGTACATATGATTACATATGTACATATATACTTATATACTGTATATAGATAGATATTGATATTTGTATAAACTAAAATATGGTTACAGTGATGTCCACACCTATATGCCGGCAGACCCAACGCTGTGCTGGTGAAATGGACCTCTTTTGGGTGGGTGGGGGTGAGGTGGGGTGGGCTATTGGCATGCATTTGCTATTGTACCCGGTCTTGGTACTACGCTAAAGGAAACCCATTTAGTCTTGGGTGAAATGCAGCTTTTTTTGGTTCTGATATTCTGCTGTCTGGGTCTTCAACAAATGGTTCTCCAAAGGACTATCATCTTTATTCCACTAAAGAAGGCCCCTCTTTCTTTTATCATTTCTTTCCGTGCACCTAGCCACCAAGATATGATACTGGAAGCGATCCTAATGTAGCTTGCCATTGGAACATGATTTCAAGCACATCAAGAAAATATCCTGCAGTGAATGACGTGATGGCAGTGAGCCACAGAGGTCACAATATTTGTGCATATGTATAATATACACTATTGTGTGTCACCTTGAGCCACAAGACCATATGTAGTCCGAAGACGTGTTTGATCCCTTTTCCGTGGCACCATACAATACCTTCCTGCAGCACCGTAAAATAAGGTGCGGCAGATCCAACGCACCACGGGAGCCTTTGCGGCGCTGCGGAAGGACGGGCGCGTCGTCACATGGGGAAGCAAGTTCTGCGGAGGCGACTTGGCGATGAGTGGTAGGTGGTAGATATACCTTGGTCAGCCCTTCTTACTGGCGTGTTCCTCGGGCGCGTTGGAGAAAAGACGGACCCCAAATGGGAATGTGATCTTGAAACGTTTCATGGCCCTGACCAACTTGGAGCCCTTCCACGAACCACGGGCTCAGGCCAATTCAATTTGACCGAGGAATGATGTTTGTTTGATTGGTATGTATCAAGTTATGTCGGGTTTTACCGAATCCAATATTGAAATTGCTAAACCAACCAGCAGAAGAGGATGAGAGAGGGTTTGTGGCCAAGACTATCAAAAGGTGGTGGTGGTTGTGCTGCTGCTGGTGGTGGTACTTTCTTGTGGGCAAATCATAGCTAAACTGCCACCTATGAAAGATTCAACTAGATGTGGATGATTCAAGTTTGCATTCACGAAGGAACTCTTCACCAAATTTTTCCCGAGAGCGTCTGAGCGCAGGGTTCTTCCAATAGTGGGGGTCTGTAAAACATCTTCTCATCTTCACATCTTCTCATCCTCACATCCTCACATCTTCACATCCTCACATCTTCACATCTTCTTATCTTCACATCTTCACATCTTCACATCCTCTCATCTTCACATCTTCACATCTTCTCATCTTCACATCTTCTCATGCTCACATCTTCTCATCTTCACATCTTCTCATCTTCGCATCTGCTCATCTTCACATCTTCTCATCTTCACATCTTCACATCTTCACATCCTCACATCTTCACATCTTCTCATCTTCACATCTTCACATCTTCACATCCTCACATCTTCACATCTTCTCATCTTCACATCTGCTCATCTTCACATCTTCTCATCTTCACATCTGCTCATCTTCACATCTTCTCATGCTCACATCTTCACATCTTCACATCTTCTCCTCTTGTCCTCTTGCCCTCTCCTTCTTTTCTATTTCTCATTTGAAGGCGCGGGGCAGGGGCAGTGCCAACGAGACGGCACGAAACGCAACCCTTTCGCACGAAATGAGGTTCGATCGCCAAAAACTGCAGTAAATTGCGATTTCAAGTCGTCCCGCGCAACCCTTTCGCACGAAATGAGGTTTGATCGCCAAAAACTGCAGTAAAATTGCGATTTCAAGTCGCCCCGCGCAACCCTTTCGCAGGAAATGAGGTTCGATCGCCAAAAATTGCGATTTTAACCTGTCCCGTGCAACCCTTTCGCACGAAATGAGGTTTGATCGCCAAAAACTGCAGTAAAATTGCGATTTTAAGTCGCCCCGCGCAACCCTTTCGCACGAAATAAGGTTCGATCGCCAAAAACTGCAGTAAAATTGCGATTTCCGGGTTCCCGTCGCAACCCTTTCGCAGGAAATGAGGTTCGATCGCCAAAAATTGCGATTTTAACCTGTCCCGTGCAACCCTTTCGCACGAAATGAGGTTCGATCGCCAAAAACTGAGTGAGGTAAAATTGCGATTTCCATGTTATCCGGCGAAGTATGTAAAAGCTTCTGTGTGTAAAAGCGTCTGTGTGTAAAAGCTTCTGTGTGTAAAAGGGTCTGTGTGTAAAAGGGTCTGTGTGTAAAAGCTTCTGTGTGTAAAAGCTTCTGTGAGTAAAAGCTTTTGTGTGTAAAAGCGTCTGTGTGTAAAAGCGTCTGTGTGTAAAAGTGTCTGCGTGTAAAAGCTCCTGTGTGTAAAAGCTTCTGTGTGTAAAAGCTTTTGTGTGTAAAAACGTCTGTGTGTAAAAGCGTCTGTGTGTAAAAGCGTCTGTGTGTAAAAGTATCTGTGTGCAAAAGCGTTTGTGTGTAAAAGCTTCTGTGTGTAAAAGCTTCTGTGTGTAAAAGCTTATGTGTGTAAAAGTGTTTGCGTGTAAAAGTGTTTGCGTGTAAAAGTGTCTGTGTGTAAAAGCGTCTGTGTGTAAAAGTCTCTGCGTGTGAAAGTTTTTGTGTAAAAGCGCCTGTATGTAAAAGCGTCTGTGTGTAAAATTGTCTGTGTGTAAAAGCCTCTGTGTGTAAAAGCGTCTGTGTGTAAAAGCTTCTGTGTGTAAAAACGTCTGTGTGTAAAAGTGTCTGTGTGTAAGCGCTTCTGTGTGTAAAAGTCTCTGCGTGTGAAAGTTTTTGTGTAAACGTTTCTGTGTGTAAAAGCGTCTGTGTGCAAAAGCGTCTGTGTGTAAAAACGTCTGCGTGTAAAAGTGTTTGTGTGTAAAAGTGTTTGTGTGTAAAAGTGCCTGTGTGTAAAAAGCTTCTGTGTGTAAAAGCTTATGTGTGTAAAAGCTTCTGTGAGTAAAAGGCTCTGAGCTGTGTTTAAAAGCGTCTGTGCAAAAGCGTCTGTGTGTAAAACCATCTGTGTGTAAAAGCGTCTGCGTGTAAAAGCTTCTGTGTGTAAAAGCGTCTGCGTGTAAAAGCTTCTGTGTGTAAAAGCTTCTGTGTGTAAAAGCTTATGTGTGTAAAAGTGTTTGCGTGTAAAAGTGTTTGCGTGTAAAAGTGTCTGTGTGTAAAGGCGTCTGTGTTTAAAAGCCTATGTGTATAAGAGTGTCTAGTGTCTGTGTGTAAAACCTTCTGTGTGTAAAAGCTTCTCTGTGTATAAGTGTCTGTGTGTAAAAGCGTCTGTGTGTAAAAGCCTCTGTATGTAAAAGCTCCTGTGTGTAACAGCTTCTGTGCATAAGCGTCTGTGTGGAAAAGATTCTGTGTGTCAAAAACAATACGAACGATACGGTGCAAACTAGTGTCTTGTGCTTGTAATATATTGTCTTGATACTACTTGTCTCGTCTGCCTATAATACATCTTTAATATATTGTCTTGTAATATAGTGTCTCAGTACTAACAACAGAAGACCCTGCTCCTCTACGCTCTCGGGCCATCCGTCGTCTAGTTGATATTGGAAGGACATAGAAATAGAATTGTTTGAACACAGCGTTTTGATTATTCTGTGCGTTGCGTAATTCAACAATAGCTGGATCTGGAGAATCGGGAACTTGGCATATGTCAATTTTTCTGGGTTTTAGGCTCAGGAAACACATAATTTTAGCCAATTTGAGGCATAACCATATATTTTTTTGGAAACACACACTTTTGGCCCATACCCACATATACTGTTTTTTCAGACGCTTCGTCACACTTGAGGTCACAGTGAGGCTGTCCAAGATGAGCTACGCGATGTGCGGCGGATTCAAGCCACCAACGCTGCTTTTGCGGCAATCCGGCAAGATGGGCATGTAGTGACCTGGGGCTACGTGACCTGGCTGTGGGTTCGTTCACGCAAGTGGGTACCCCAAAATAACCATGAAGCAAGAGGAACGCAAACTGATCAACTATTGGATTTTGGGATACTCTATGGTAGTTACCTAGTTTTCAGACAGGCCCCCGTTGGCAACCAACGGGTGTTGGAGGAGTGCTATATATACATATACATATACACATATATTTCATGATCTCCGTTTTAAACTCGAGAGGGCCCAGATAAATGGATCGTCTTGCACAGACAGACGCCTGGACCTTTTTTCAAGAAGCGGACAGTTGGAAGTTGGAAGGTGGGTTTTCCCTTTGTGCAGGCATGGACATTAAATCTGTACATGCTTCGAAATCTGTTTATTGACTGGATACTACCAATGCTACCTACATCTACCTACCATGTTTTTATCTTTAGTTTTGAGGAATACTTTGGCGGTGACAGTGGTAACGTGACTGACCGCTTGCATGGCGTAGCAGAGATTGCAGCGTCTTCGGGAGCCTTTGCCGCAATCCTTCAGGGCTCTGGACGCGTGGTGGCATGGGGCGCAGTGGATTCTGGAGGCGCGTCGTGGTCCCCACAGTGGACACTTGCGGAAAGCTCACCCATTGCAGATGATTTTCTTCAGAAGATGTTGGAATCGAGAATTCTCCAGGATTTGCCATTGTTTTCACATTGTGCAGTTCGTTTCTTGGCCACCGTTTTCGATTTGGCCCAGTCTGTAGCGGTTCGTTCAACCTTGGCTCCTGCAAGGCGACACCACGAAAGTTCAACAGGAACTGGTAGATGTGCAGCAAATCCAAGCAGCTTGGCTGTGGAAGATTCGCAGAATTGGATCAAGGGACTCTAAATAGGACATCGCCACAATTTCTGGGAAAATAAATTGTTTCCTGAGCCATTAAAAGGTTCTAACAGATCCTACAGCCAATCATTCATGGATGAAAAACACCTTTGGGTAGCAGGACACCTTGATGTTTTGGATAAGCTGTCATGGAGTATGTTGTACTGCTCCTTTCGAACGTTCACATCTTGCAACGAAGTTAAGTGGAACTCCACAGGTCCATGTCGAAGGGCTTTTCAATCCGATCCTTGGATACTTTAAGCAGACCGATTTGTTAATTTCTTATACGTATATCATATATCTGAAAAAATGCAAATCAGAGTAGCATCATGAAAAATCCGAAATGGTCACAGCACATTCCCAGGAAACTAGCTCTGCAATTGGAGGAATTCTGTGGAATTCTTCCATTTTTAGGCCACTGCCTGCGCCTTTGCCGCCATCCGAAGAGATGGATCTGTGGTGACCTGGGGGGATCCATCCTCTGGGGGAGATAGCAGTGCGGTGCGCCAGCAGCTACAAGGGGTTCAAGAGATTCAGGTTGCTCAGCTTGGATCTAACAGCTTTAACAGCTTGTACAGATGTTATAAGTTTTAATTATTGTGATGTTGTGTTTTTGGAATCCCCTTTCTTGGAGCATTTGGAATTTTGGCACCTGCAACATCTATGAGATGAGTTGAAGTGCAACTGCATTGTTTGTGACGCGGCTCATGGCTCCAAAGCACCGTTCAATTTCAAATGAATGGTTCTTTTTTTCTGCCATTTGAATGTGCCACAAAGCAAAATCTTGTCAATCTGACCGCTTGACTTGACGGACTTGAGCCTATCTGAGGCATCCAACAATGCCTTTGCAGCGATTTGCAAGGATGGAACTGTGGTCTCTTGGGGCGCCAAGGAAACTGGAGGCGACCAGAGAACGGTCCAAGACCAGTTGCAAGATGTCCAAGAGATCCAGGCGCAGAGGGGTAAGGCCTGGTATGTTGAGTAGTAAACCGCAACCCACGGCATTTTCGGGTAGAGACCCAATTTTGAACCATATTTAGATGAATCTGGCCCGAGGTCTAATATTTCAATCGATCAGATAGAGAGGGGAGAGAGAGAGAGAAAGATAGGTCTGATGGTGACACGTGGTACCTTTGTACACTGACAAACACATGGAAATGGGGAGCAGTCAAAAACTATGAAAGGGGCTTGACTTCAGCAAGCAATCCTTGAAAGAACCCCGTCACTTTAGCATACTTTAGCTACTGGTGGGGATTGTGGACAGTGTGGCTGTATGGAACGTAAAAGAATGTGGCCAAAAATCTTCAACTTTTGATAGGAAGCTGTTATGCTTCATGTTTGGATAGCAAACTTGATAATATTGGATATATGCCACAGTGTTTTGATCCCCGTGGTCATTCCAAATGTGATGGTAGCTGCTAAATACTGTTTAGACCATGACTTTCGTTCTTACCTCTGGATCGTTGCAAGGAACATCGCATCTTGTTCATGAATTTGACGATTTTTATATAATTTCATATGTGTCCGTTATGTTTTAACATATTCCATCATATTCCATCATATTTCATCATATTCCATCAAATTCCAACATATTTCATCATATTCCATCTTATGTCATCATATTGCATCATATTCCATCATATTCCATCATATTCCATCCTATGTCATCATATTCCACCATATTTCATCATATTCCCTCGAATTCCGTCATACTCCACCATATTCCATCATATTGCATCATATTCCATCATATTCCATCATATTCCATCATATTCCATCATATTTCACCATATTCCATCATATTCCATCCTATTCCATCATTTTCCATCATAATCCGCCATATTCCATCATATTCCATCATATCGTATTCCGTCATATTCCACCATGTTCCATCATATTCCATCAGAGTCCATCATAATCCACCATATTCCATCATATTTCATCATATTCCATCATATTTCATCATGTTCTATCAGATGTCATCATATTCCATCATATTCCATCATATTTCATCATATTCCATCATATTCCATCATATTTCATCATATTCCATCTTGTTTCATCATATTCCATCATATTCCATCATATTCCATCATATTTCATCATATTCCCTCGAATTCCGTCATATTCCACCATATTCCATCATATTGCATCATATTGCATCATATTCCATCATATTCCATCATACTATATTCTTTCATATTCCATCATATTCCGCCATATTCCATCATATTTCATCATATTCCATCATATTCCATCATATTTCATCATATTCCATCTTGTTCCATCATATTCCATCGTATTCCATCATATTTCATCATATTCCATCGTATTCCGTCATATTCCACCATATTCCATCATATTCCATCATAGTCCATCATATTTCATCATATTCCATCTTATGTCATCATATTGCATCATATTCCATCATATTCCATCATATGCCATCCTATGTCATCATATTCCACCATATTTCATCATATTCCATCATATTCCATCATTTTCCATCATATTCCATTATATTCCACCATATTTCATCATATTCTATCAGATGTCGTAATATTCCATCATATTCCATCATATTTCACCATCATTCCATCATATTCCATCATATTTCACCATATTCCATCATATTCCATCCCATTCCATCATTTTCCATCATAATCCGCCATATTCCAGCATATTTCATCATATTCCATCATATTCCATCATATTTCATCATATTCCATCGTATTCCGTCATATTCCACCATATTCCATCATATTCCATCATAGTCCATCATATTTCATCATATTCCATCTTATGTCATCATATTGCATCATATTCCATCATATTCCATCATATGCCATCCTATGTCATCATATTCCACCATATTTCATCATATTCCATCATATTCCATCATATTTCATCATATTCCATCATATTCCATCATATTTCACCATATTCCATCATATTCCATCCCATTCCATCATTTTCCATCATAATCCGCCATATTCCAGCATATTTCATCATATTCCATCATATTCCATCATATTTCATCATATTCCATCATATTCCATCATATTTCATCATATTCTATCAGATGTCGTAATATTCCATCATATTTCATTATATATATTCCATCGTATTCCGTCATATTCCACCATATTCCATCATATTCCTTCATATTCCTTCCTATTCCATCATATGTCATCATATTCCACCATATTTCATCATATTCCTTCATATTCCATCATTTTACATCATATTCCATCATATTCCATCATATTCCATCATATTCCGCCATATTCCATCATATTTCATCATATTCTATCAGTTGTCACCATATTCCATCATATTTCATCATATTTCACCATTTTTCATCATATTCCATCCTAATCCATCATATTCCCTGATTTTCGCCATATTCCATCCTATTCCATCATTTTCCATCATATTTCATTATATTCCATCGTATTCCGTTATATTCCACCATATTCATCCATATTCAATCATATTCCATCATATTCCTTTTTATTCCATCATATGTCATCATATTCCACCATATTTCATCATATTCCATCATATTCCATCATTTTACATCATATTCCATCATATTCCAGCCTATTTCATCATATTCCGCCATATTCCATCATATTTCATCATATTCCATCATATTCCACCATATTTCATCATATTCCATCACATTCCCTTATTTCATGATATTTCATCATATTTCATCATATTTCATCATATCCCATCATATTTCATCATATTCCACCATATTTTATCATATTCCACCATATTTTATCATATTTAATCATATTCCATGTTATTAATTCATAGTGTATTTGCAGCGGAATCCGTTGTTGTTTGGCTTTCACCTGTTCCATTCCGCTCCTTAGGCCACCCGCTACGCTTTCGCGGCCATCTGCGGCGCGACGCGTCGAGTTGTGACCTGGGGCGCCTCGCGGCATGGCGGGGAGGGCCCCGGGGCGCTGCGAGGGGTTCGACAGATCCAGAGCTCCAAGGGCGCTTTTGCGGCGATTCTAGAGGATGGAGGAGTGATGACCTGGGGACATGCTTCTTGGATCTACTGGATGTTTGGAGTTTTTTGAAAGTTTTTTTTTTCGGAAATGCCTGAGAAAACACGTTGAACAGCAGACTCTCTCCGTGGGGCTCGTATTCTGGGATGCCGAAATTGCCAGGCGGTCACATTGAGATTCCGAGGCACGCCATGGCGGCGACAGCAGCAATGTGCAGCATCAACTGTACGGAGTGCAACAAATCCAAGCATCGAGCCGTGCGTTTGCCGCTCTAAGGGATGATGGGCGAATTGTGACGTGGGGAAATCATCATGAAGGTGGTGACAGCAGCTACGTTCACTGGGACTTGTTGAGCAAAGATTTTGATTTAGCGTAATTATATATATATATATATAATATGGAAATATATATATATACATACACACACACACTTTAAAGGAAGTGGAACATGACCCCTTGAAAATGATTGCCCTTATGAAAATGGGAGATTTCCACTTCCGTCTTTGTTTTTGTATTCACCGCAAAAGGCAACATACTTCGCACTCATTCAGGGCAAAGGATTGCCAGAAAAGATCACATGGATCAAACATCAGGCATGAAACAATCCCAACAGGCGTTAGTGTAGGGAGCAAACTCACTCCAGTTTCCAACCTCTTCACAATTTTTCATAAAATATCATTATCCGCCATTCATGTCAGTATCAAAATTCAAAAGTTGAATTGTGCCTTAAATGTGCATGTGAGCTTGAGCGAAGTCTCAACACTGACTTAACCCACCTCCAGCCAGCTTGCAAAGATTTGCCAAACAAACTTTTGCAGATCAAATCTTAAGCACGGGTTGGTAAATGGCCCATTTTGAGGGATTTCTACGGACTACCTTGACTACCTCTAAGATCACCATGGATCATCAAGGATTACCATCCTGTCAAGGCTTCAACGGTTCTTTTTTCAATCCGATGCAAGCCGCAGGTTCAGGATCAGTTGTATGGAGTGCAAGCCATCCAGTCGTCCTTTCGTGCTTTCGTTGCCATTTGTGATGATGGACGACTTGTAAGCTGGGGCCAAGCTGACGCGGGCGGCCAATGCCCAGTGAGATTTGGATATCCTTAGATCATCTTGGATCAATGAATTGATTTAAGGAGCAAAGTGCGGGAAATCATGGGTTTTGCTCCCGAAGCTGAAGCTAGGGGCTTCCTCCAAATTTTCCCTTCAAATCTGGGACTGGACTGGCACCGCAGTTCCATTGAAAAGCCTGGGACCCTTTAAACTAATTACTTAAAAGCGCGGAACAAATCGCCTGGTTGCTAGGACCAACTGCTTGGTGAACATAACGATGTTCGGGTTTTGCTGACCATTTGGAGAAGAACTAGGTGGGCACTGTCTTGGCGGTTCCAGATCAATTCTGGTGGTTATCATCTCCGGTGATCCTGCCGTTGAAAATATATACATGATCCATTTCAGTGCAGGGCCAAGGCAAGTTTCAAAATCTCGCTCTACCCCAGACCAAGCTAGTCCAATTGGAAAATGATGATCCCTTAAGGTTCCTGATCTTAAAACACACTTTTTTGATCATGGGGGTTTTGGCTGCTTCATTTACCGGCACAGGCTCCGGTACCAACCACTGCAAGTATCATCTTGCGATCCAGTCCTAGGATTCCTAGGTCCCCAAAATTGGTTGGACACGCTGCGGGTTGACAAAAAAGTTGCCATTGGTCGCTGATTGGTGGTTTCAACATTTTTCAACGCACTTCTTTTCCACACCTGGTTGGGACACCTGATGGCAACCTGGTGGGGACCATCTAGTCTTGGCGGATTTCAACTGGCTTGTCTTCTGCTGGAAACCAGCGACCAGCTTAGTTTTAAGTCGAACAACACGTAGTTTGGTGGAACTGCTTCCACCCTGAAGGTAAACCGTCAACAGGTGATTTTCCACAGCGCAGGAAAGCGTACGCAGAAGAATACTTCAACAAACAGCAAGAAGTGGCCATAGCAGCTCCCAACTTCAAAGGAGCCAGCGAGACGGCCAATTTTCGCCGGGCTGTGATTGGATGCCTTGTGTTTTTCTTGCTCCGACCAGTCACAGGCAGACCATGACCTTTGAAAGCTAAGTGCTCACCGCTCGAAAACAGGGGCGGCGGCTAGGTGCTGTGCGGCTGACAATATTTTAAATTAAAGGATGGCTGTTTGGGTGAGGGTCAAAATCATTGACCGTCAAAAAACCAGACAATCGTACCGCAGATGGTTTAATTGATGCTAACAGGATGATCAACTCATAGCTAAGCATCCATATCCATACTATACTATTTCAGAGGACGGTTCGACAAATACCAATGGTTTGATAAGTGCCTTGAACAATGCAACTTATTGACTACTACCCATACATACTTATACATACTTATACCAGTAGCAGAAAAGTGGTCTAGTTTCGTATCAAGTTTCAGGGTCCGTCACGGTCCACAGGACTCCCTAGGCGGCACCTCCAAGACTTTGATGTTCGTGAACTGTTCACCTGCAAGGCGTGAAAATGTCGGAAAATGATGGTGGATAGTCATGGATAGCCTATACGTAGAAGTTTTGTGGGATTTATATGGCTACATCATGGAGAAAATATGGGTGAGCAACCATGAATTTTGGGCTTGTTTCCCCCAAATTCTCGGACAAAACCATTGTTGGTTGGAAGTTATACAATTATGTATAAGTATGTTACAATCACTGAAAGAGGGCAATTCTTTCCTCACTTGTAGAAGGGCAACATCCCCAACATATGGCCATTGCTGAAACTGGAGCAAACTGCTGGCAGCTGGATGTTGATGGTCTGTGACACTCTTTTTTCCGGTAGTTCTCAGAGGTTTTGTGCCTCAAGCACAGTCGGTCTGGTAATTTTTATCATGTTGCCTTGCTTAGCTTCCCCGCTGCGCGTGTGAGGTGTAATCTACATGAGACGCACCCTGGCAGCCCTGGGGAAAGTGGTGGAAATTTCCCAGTGATGGTGGAGCGGCTCATAACCGAGGATAACATCCGAATTAACTGGGACGAAACCCTGCTTTGGGGAGTTCTAGCCCCACGACTTGTTTTTAATGAAAGCCCATCATTGTAGCTTGTATATCTTCATGTTGATGCCGCTGATTGTATATTGACGGTGGCTGTTGGTATTTGACCTTTGGAGGTGTATATATGTGACTTGCGCGGTTCTGACGATCAGCTAGAAGATTGATGAGACATCGGCAACAATCACACAACTCTCCGGTGTTGCATAAAGCCTTGATCCAATTTGCTTGGATGAGTTCAAGGATGTTCAAGGATTCAAGCAGATGTTCGGCCCGCAGGGCTTGGCACGGAACATGGTGGCTTGAGTACCCGGCAGCAAAGTTTGGCAATATTGGATCATGGCTCAAATATACCCCAAAAGATGTACTCAGCAGGAAGAACATGTGGATTTGGCTGTATGCTCATCAATTCATCCCTTTTGGTTCGTAGTTGTCCTATGTGCTGTTCCTAGTTTTCGCTTTGGATTGTTCTATGACTGGTTTATTTTGGGGAGTATACACTTGGAATACTAACCTTGGATTAGTTGAAACCTTCTTGGATTATTCGACCCATTGGTCTCAATAGTTGAGATCGAATCTTCGAAAAGTGTTCATCAACTGGGATTCTACCATTTGAATCACAGTTTTGAACCCATTTTCGATCCATCTTACCGTCTTACCGAATCTTACCTGTAGCATTTCGCTAGGGACGGGACGCAGGATGGGACACTCTCCCAGTGGACCTAAACCAAGGGCAATGAGCCTCAACTATGCTCTTCGTGCCAAGAGGGTGGTCAACGCCAGGGACCTCAGCAGTTCGCGGGACAGGACTCAACCTTAGCTGCTTGGAGTTGGTCTTTTCTTGGAAATGGTTGGCTAAAGATCTTGAATTGATGATGTGGAAAAGGCACATATTTTGCGGGGGGATTGAAAGTCGAAAGATGCAAACGCACATGCGCAAGAATGCCAAGAAGATCCAAGAAGATTCACCTAGACCGTGGGAGATTCATCAACCAGACTGGGATTGCGACAATATATATATATATATATATATGTGACTGACAACAGGATACCCGCCAAAGTATCAAGTAGGGAATTGAATGCACTTGGCACATGGAACCATCTTTTGAGTTCTTTCTATAGACACAGACGATCCCGCTTGGTTGGGGACAGACATTCATGCCACAGGGAATGAGCATAAATAAAGGGAGATCCTATGTCCGTTGCCCAGTGTAAACCATCCTTTTTTCTTTCATGAACATGAGTGGACCGTAAGCACAGGACCGTTGCAATTGCCCGTGGAAACGGCATAGAACCAATCATCACCTTCACACGTGGAGCACATACAAGGGGACCATTATAAATCGCGGGGATATGAGTTTTTCTCCTTGAAATCTTCAAGTTTCCATGTTTCCTCTTGCACCAAGATGTTGAGATGTCCAAGATGTCAAGATCGGAGGTTGTCCCAACACATGACCAGCCAATAACTAGCAGATATCAGCAGCATCTCGTCTCAAAGGCAGTGCCGAGCCGAAAAGTGATGGACCCAGATGAGCTGTGCTTTTGGGGCTTGAGGATTTTCTAATTTCTACTCCATGACGAGCTTGCAGTTGCCTGGTTCCAGTTATACAACTTAACATCAACTGACACGGGTGATGGTAAAAGGGCTCACCAGAGATCAAAGGCAATTGATGAAGAGCTATTGCAACATAGGTCCTATGATATGTCGGATATGCTGCGTGGTTAGGGTTTTTGATCAGTCTCTTCCCCTGTAAGGATCCCACTGTCAGCTTGTCAACCCTTCGCATCGAAGATGTGAGAGTTCAGGATCTTGGACTTCCATTTACTGTAAGCATTTTAAGCCATGTACATTTGATAAACTATGATTATTGATGTGTATATATATATATACAGTAGTATTATATAGCTATATAATTGTTAGATTGAGTACCACTCTTTGCTGTTGCTGTCCACCTTTTTCTCATCTGATACTGACCTATGGTTCTTGCCAGTGCCCCCAGGTATGTGTGTCACTCTTTGGCTACCTACACGTACACATGTGCACACAGTACAAGAGAACATATTTGAGGGGTATTTTTGGGTCTATGGCCCAATTCTCCAGGTTTGAAATGGCTATTGTGCGTTCTCCTTGGGATTCCCAATATATGTGTGCTGTTTTCTTTTTAAATTGAGCAGTGGCCAACCCCACTGGCTGCACATGGGAACTTCATTTGCGTCCATGCTGCTGGCACCATTCCCTGGCTGGTGAATTCCAATATCTGTGACGTGTCCCATTTCTCAAAGTAACATGAATCGCATCCTCCTCGTTGATAACTCCCTATTTTTCGTTGTTGAATCCCAATCTTTGATAATCTTTGATGATTGATGCTTAAAATCTCTAAGTTTCGTGGTAAGATCCTGATGAAAACTGATGATCTACCAGTTTCTTCGCGTAAGACCTTCGTGGCCCAAAGACCTTTCCGCTGAGGTTTGGGCGGCCCGCTGAGCCGTTCAAGGTGATAACATAGGACAAGAATGGACAAGATACGGTGGATAAGATATGATAAGATTATTTGAAGATACCTGTAATGAACACCTGATGGATGGATATGGGAAAACCCAGTAATTAAGATAAGATACCATAAGATAAGAGAAGAGAAAAGAGGAAAAGAGACTTAAAAAGAGGAGAACAGGAGAGAAGAGACGAGAGAGATACTGTAGGTAGATTAGATACAAAGATGGATTGACAGATATTGACAGTGAATATAGATATAGATATAACATGATATAACAACAGTGTATGTATACATACAATTGCATGACATTTGTAATGCAAAGTATGTATAAAGTTGTGGGGATTTCACCACTCAACATGGGGATTTGACCCACATTCCGATGTGCTTGGCTGAGAACCAGCACTTTTGTGGTATTTTCAATGTCTTGCTCCCCCTGATTTGACATGGGACCTGGGTTTTGCATAGTTCTCCTGGTGTTTCAAGATGCTTTCTCCACTTCCCCAAAACATTAGTGCCAGGTGACCATGCTGCCGGGGGAATGACGCTGCTTCCTCAGGGTCGTTTCTGC